TGTTAATACCAGTACAAAAATTAAATAATTAAATTGAATTTCTGGTTTTTTTTGTACAAATGTAATGACAGCTGATTCGAATATAGGTGTTGCTTATCTTCGAAAAAATCAAAATCAAGTCGTTTTCATAACACCATTTCAAACAGATTGTGTTTTTCAATTCCGATAAATAAGCAATTCTGTGTCGGTTTCTATAACACCTCCGATCGATTGGTTTAAATGCAAAAATATGTTATATTTGAATTTTCATGAGACACTGCTGTTATTTCGAACGTAGTTGTAAAAGTTCTAATATCTTTCAGCCGTGTGGTAGATACATATGTTACTATCAGTATTCATTATTTTCGATGTAATGTCTCGTTTGCCTTTTTCTAAGTAGAATTTCTCCAAAAGTACAAAGGTTTAGTTTGCTTTTAATTCAAAAAAAGCTAATTAAAAAGAAGCTAAGTAAAATTTGGTTCGCATTGGCTCATACAAATTCAACAGTTTTTTTTATTTATTATTATTTTTTTTTTTTTTGGATATGTTAATTAATGTTTGTGTGTTTTTTACTAATTCGTTTATTTTTACGTAGATACATACATGCATACATATTTTACGTACATACATGTACATGTATGTGTATCTATTATTATAAACATAACATTGACCTTGCCATTTGCAGTTTAACATTGCTTTTTCGGCTGTTGTCAGATACCGTTTTCAAATAAAATATCGCATTTGAATTTTTTGCTGTTACTTGGATTATATGTATGTGCATACATACGAGTATGTGTGTGTGTGTGTGTATATATCTTTGCTTTTCAACGCTTATTTAAATTTTTCAAATCGAGTCATGTGAAGTCGTGTTGACACTTTTGCCCCTTCATTTCCTCTCATTTTTTTCCATTTTATTTGAGGAATTTCGTATCGAGAGTTGTATTGTCCGAAAATGTATTTATGCACCAAAATACATGCATATGTAAATACATACATATATGCATTCGTTTATATTTATGAGTATCAGAAAAAGGGTATGCAAGTTCAAATTTAGGCATTTTCGGGAGTACAAACAGAAAAACTTTTATTTGTTTTTGAATATTTTTTTTTTTTGTTTTCTTAATTGTATATTTTCAAACTGTCGTTTTAACAATGGAAATACATTCATACATACATACATACATATGTACATACATATATGCTAGTATATATTAAATAAGCAGTCTGATTGCAACCAATAATTAGTCATTTCATACCGGTTATTGAATTAAACGCTGCCTCCAATTATAGAACTTCAATGTGAGCAATTATAGACTTACTCTAAAGGTTGTTCTACCAATTTTATTTTTATTTATTTAAAAAAATAAAAGCTTAACGCACTTCCTCAAGCGGTCGATCACAGCGCTTAATGATCGACTAAAGGTTTCATCAATGTATTGAATCCATGTAAAATGATTATGGGATAAAAAAAGAGGAGATTTTGTATTACACTTCCTGAACAAATAACCCATCGTCGCTCATCACTGACTTTGGTTGACTCTTCGCAGCCAAATTTTTATATGAAATTATAGTATAGGGAAGAAATTTGCAACAACTATTGGCATCGAGTGCCTTGATGATATCTCTGAAGCTACTTATTTTACTCTATTTGGGTTTATTGGCATCATGTACACACGACGGAGTAATTCAGAGAAGGTATGCTAGTGCGAGGGAATTTCAGTCCCAGTGATACTCGCATCACAATGGCGTTCCCGAAAGCCGCAAAATATCCACTCGTAACTACCTACCTATAGTATAATAAAATAATAATTTCATGTCATGGCCAAATAAATACTTTATTATAAAGTTTACCATTATTATTTAAAAATGATATCGGGCAAGTGACCGCTGACTTGACACTAGTCTCACAAAAAATAGTCGGATGATAATGCGGTCAACAAGAAGATTCCTTCAAGAAATTGCTTGTCTCGTTGACTATATGACATTTAGCGCCATACTGTTGAGTCCACACGTCTTCCACAGCAATTAACATCTCTAAAGCGTTCCCTATTTATGACCGGTTGGGTCTGAAATGAATCCCCATGCGTTCTTTACTGGTTTACAGCTAGTGTATATTCAAGTAATTAATCGTCCCTGGATAGCTCGCGTACGACTTATCCTTAACGCCACATGAAATATTCCAACGGAGTTAAATCGCAGATTTCTGCTGGCACAAATTTTCAATTTGGCAATTGGACAAGTGACAAATTTCCTTGCAGTTGCAGTTGAAGACACACCATTTGGGTAGAAGGCAAAAACTTGACTATTTCTTAAGGGGTAAAGCAACTCTAGAGGTTGAAAAATATACGTATTTTTTTAAATCTATTTGCAAGAATATAAGAAAAGGAATAGAATTTCTATTTAAACATTTCATTGAAAATTTAGTGAAATATAAAAAAACATTCATTAATTATCATTTTGTTACAAAATGGCGGTGATTCCCAGCTGTTCATTATTTAAACCATGTTTTTCCGTAAGGCGTCCACGGGAGGGCCGATTTCTGCTAAACAGAAAAGCAAGTGCGTATAGATTTATTATTTAACTAATTTTTGTGGAAAAAAAAGGGTTTTCCAAAATCATAAAGTGGCTTTACTGCTTAAGTCCCAAACCCCCTACTGAATATTTAACACATCGCAAATGTCATTGCAGGCGTCCAAGCTCAAATAAGTCATAGTTCAAAAATTAGACGGCCCATACTTTACTTGGAACTGCACAGTGAACTCGGTAACAAGAACGGGGCTGCAGCAAGCAGACTCATTGATTACGCATAGCTTATAAAGACGACGTGATTCTGGAAGTCTTATGTCGATAGAATTTATCTGCAGTAAGGCGTGCAAAAAATCTGAGGATTCTCTCGACGGTATGGTCTTTATTTTGGTACGACGCAGATTTTTATCCGGCCAATTAATATCACTACAGCAATGCTATGAAAACAACAATAACAAATTAGTTCAGCGTGCACGCCAAAAAGTGTCGACCTGGCTCACTTGTTGTGGCCTTCGCGTCAACCTAACTAAGATATCTATTTACCAGAGAAAAAGAAATAATAATCACGTTTGAACTAGAGAATGAAGATAGTTCGAAGATGTAAGAGGCACTTTCATACCAAGCAGTGCTTTTTTAAGTCATAGATCTCTGCACTATCATGGAGGCAGCAAGGCAGGTTCAGACGAACCTTAAAAATAAGGATATTATATATTTATCGACAGCCATACAGCAATAAAGGCGCTTGGTTGCCGCCAAAATTGTATTTCACAGACCAGCTCTGGGTCCCTGGGCTTAGAGAAATCGAGGGAAAATGTAGAATCTGGACTACCGTGCTTCGCCTACTTTCTTAGAGTTTCTCTCGATGTAGATTATATTCTATAAAGAGCGCCTTATGGCACGTGCAAACTGCTCTTCAAGAAATTTCCCAATGAATACCACAATGACTTGATCGAAATCGCTAAGTCAAAATGGGATGGGACATAAAGAGAGGACTTTCCCAAGTTCATTACGCGTTTCTAAAATTTTGAAGCCTGCATATGCCTCGGGTTGATGGTGTCATGGCTACAATCGTTGAAATTTCGATGAGAGCTTCGCAAAGATTACAGTTACCGCGAACAATGGACTGTTCTTAGTTAGACGGACCTGATGCTATTTGTGTTACTATTGTAGAATTCTCTCGTACCCTACAAAAACAAAAGTAGTTGTTCAGATTGAAGAAAGCATTTGTGACCTATTGCACTTGCAAAGTCTGAGGAAAATTAAGTGAAGTACAAAAGGCAGTCTGTGCAGTGGTTAAATCAACCATTTAGTCATGTTCGATAGATGCGCTTCACATGCTTCAGAATCACAACGCATTTAACTAAATCGGACTACATCCTCACAAGCTTAAATTTAAGTAGTTGTTTCCAGGTGGGGGCACTCTTAATTGGAATGAAGAAGAAGTTTCGTAAGAAAATATAAAATATCCATCTACACCGATGTATCCCAATTGGACTGCGGTGTAGAGTTGCGGATATACTCTGAAGATCTGCGTCTCCCAAGCTCAGTTAGCATCTCAAGAAGTGCTAGGAATAGAAATGACAAATACGGAAGGCTATAAAGGGCAACATCTTACTCACACAGGCGGTATTGATGTCCTCAACATCGTCAGCAATTATAGGAAGGCTCTAAGCTTGCTAGTACCTCAGCTTGACGTCTCCATAATCTGAGTTTTCGGTCATAGTAACCTTTATGTATATGTATATGACTTACAGCCACAACAAAGGATCACAGCCCCTTCAGGGAGCAGGGAATAGAAAAACAATTATCCGTTTTCTCAATGAATGCTGGAATTCGTTACAGAACACTGGTTAGAACCACTAGAGGAATTTTGGAATTTTAGGTCGAACTCCGATGGATTTTTATTAGGATTTTACACTCGGAGGGCTTAATATTCCCTGCCCAGCAATGACCGCAATTAAAAAAGTTAATTTTCTTTTCTCTTTTCATGCTGACCAAACCATGACTCGAAACCCCTGGCCTTCCGAATATTACTATGCAATGCTAACCCCTCGGCTATTTCAGAATTATGTTAGAAAGTTTCTCTGTATATATTTTTTGTGATCTCTGAAAGTGTGTCTTTGGCTCCTGGAAAGATTTTGTTTGGATTAGCACGAAAACCACTACTCTCTACGGGAAGTGGGCGAGGGACCAAACTATTCGAAAAAGTTCCTAATTATGACTCGATGAAAAAATCAATTGAAATATCTCAAGGACTGGGGGAGTAATTCGTACAAACAGATGGACAGACGATTACAGCTAAATCAGCTTTCTATATGAAATGAATTCAAGCGGACGGCTTCCATATATAAATATAATACACGTATATACATACTATATATGAGAATAGTTTATTCGGTTGGGAATAATTAATAATAAATTCATATAAAATTAATCAAATATTATATAACTTTTATTGACGTACATACGTATGTGTATTTTATATTTACTTACAGGCGAAAACAGTTGGAAAGTCTTTTGAAGATGTATGAAGAGCATGAAAATGAAATGATTAATGCGCTCGATGCTGACTTGAGGCGACCAAAGCAAGAGAGTTTGGTTGTTGAGACGGAATTTCTCAAAAACGATATTAAACACATATTGTATAATTTAAATGATTGGGTTAAGCCCGAAACGGTAAGTGACTCAAACCAATGTTAGTTGTATTTGTATTCTTTATATATGTTTAATTCCATAACAGCCTGAGAAGTCTTTGGTCAATTTACTCGATGATGTGCAGATTTTCAATGATCCCTACGGCGTGGTACTGGTAATTGGCGCATGGAATTATCCGCTGCAATTGTTGCTTGTGCCCGTCGCTGCTGCCATAGCTGCTGGTAATTGTGTTGTGATTAAGCCAAGTGAGATTTCTACGAATTGCGCTAAATTTGTGACGGAAATGGTGCCAAAATATTTGGATAATGTATGAGCATCTGAATTTTATGAATTTACAAATATTTCAATATTTTCTTAAAATTATTTTTATTATGCATATACATTATGATAGGACTGTTATCCTGTTGTTTCCGGTGGCCCAACCGAAACTGCGGAATTGTTGAAACAACGTTTCGATTATATATTCTACACAGGCTCCACAAGAGTGGGTAAAATCATACACGCTGCTGCTAATAAACATCTAACGCCAGTAACTTTGGAACTGGGCGGTAAAAGGTATTAAATTTTATTTAAAAAAATTCTTCTTTAACCTTTATTTACTATCTTTATTAATGTCTCTGCATTTTCAGTCCCTGTTATATTGATAAATCTGTTGAGCTGCGTACAGCTGTGAAGCGCATACTTTGGGGAAAACTAATCAATTGCGGGCAGACATGCATTGCGCCGGATTATGTATTGTGTTCGAAAGAAATACAGGAGAAATTCATTGCCGAAGCAAAGGAGGTGCTCAAAGAGTGGTATGGCGAGGATATCAAGAGCAGTCCAGATCTCAGTCGCATTATAAATCATAATAATTTTCAGTAATTAACCATGTTAATGACATCTTAAACACACAGTGATATTATAATTTGCTTTAATTTGTTTATCAGACGCCTGCTTGGTTTAATGAAGAGCGGCAAGGTTGCTGTTGGTGGTAATTATGATGCCTCAGAACGCTTCATTGAGCCAACCATACTAACAGATGTTAAGGAAGATGATGCCATTATGCAAGAAGAAATTTTCGGCCCACTTTTGCCCATTTTCACAGTAGAAAATGCCTACGATGCAATTAAATTCATCAATTCTAGGTAAATTGGAAAAATTTCAAGTTAAAATTTCACGTGCAATCAATTTATATACTCGTACATATACATTTTCCTTGCACTTCGTACATACGTAAAGTTGCACAAAGCTGTGTATATTGTTTATCATTACATAAACTTCGTCATATGTACTGTACTATTATTCATTTTTTATCGCACGCCCAATGGAGCATAGAACTGGATCAGTCAATTTGTATTCCGTTCGTGTACGTCAAATGCTATATTAACTTTTTAGTCCGAAGTAGACCACTACCAGAATGACGAGTGGAGTTTATTTAGCCATGTCCGTCTGTCCTCCTGATCTATTTTAACCAAACTTGGTACACTAATTGTCAGAACGGACTTCTATAGCACACGACCGAAAAAAGTTCCCAATTTGTTATTAGGCACATACATACATATATGAAGAATTGTAAATTGATGCTGTAATTCATCGAAACGGGAGGACTATAACACATATATACAAATAAACATAAATATTGACCCCTAAAAGTTATCGAAATCGTAGACCATTTCATATAGCACCCATACAACCGATTTGCACAAATATGAGATTTTTAGGCAAAACCCCATCCGCAAAGCATCCACAAGCGTGAGATTTAGTATTCTACTCACGTATAAGCCAGTAAACATTGTCTCTGAATATCCTAAAAATGGGTGGACTATATCATATAGCTCCCATACAACCGATTTGTGCAGATTTGGAGCTTTTTTCTTTATAAATCGGTCCAAAAGGCATGAATTTTCATATTCTAAACACGTATATATCAGTAGACATTCTCAACAAAAATTATCTAAATTGGAGTGCTATATCAAATAGCCCCAGTGCAGCCGATTTTCCAACTATCGGCTATCGGAACATGAAATAGCATAAATTTTATATGTTCATTAACAATATTAATACATCGGAATGGACAAAGACTTTCTTGTTTCATTGGTTGTGCGATATGCAAAATTTATGCTTGGCTATCGCCAAGTTTTTCCCCCTTTGTTTTGATATTCATTTATAATCATTAATTAATTTTTTTATTATCATTTATCTTCACATCGTCTCGAAATATGTATCAACATTTGTGAACGTTCCACCAAAAAAAAATCAAAAAAAAAACAATTTAATTGTTTTACAAAATTTTACACACCACACAACACCACAAACACCAAAAAAAAAAAACGTTCATATTAAAAAAATATGTACAGAGAGTCACCACTTTGCGCGTATATATTCACAGCGGAGACTGAGGTACAAAATTTATTTAAACGTGACATCCAATCGGGCGGAATGTGTATGAATGACACCATAATGCATTATGCTGGTAAGCGAATACATACATACACTACAAGTGTATTGAAGCAGTAGCGTTAACTAAAAGCAAAGATACAACGAAAGTCCTTTATGAAATTATTTATTTCTAATGCAAATTGATTGACTGATTTCAATAACAGTTATTCAATGTAGATCCTATTGAATTGCCCGTTGCTCCTTTTTAACTGATTGAGCTAAAAAAAATTCCTAAAAATCAAAGTGGTGTTGGCGCGTCAAATTATCCTGCTAGTAATGTAAATACATATATTTTATAGCTACCCTTTTCCAGAGTTTATCTTAAATATTGTATGTATCTGGTGTTTGGTTTTAGATCCTTTGGTTGTGGCGTGAATGCTTGTGTATAAAAACTAAAAAAAAAATGTAAAAAATATAAATTTAAATGTTAAAACGAAATTGGAGTTGGTACTACTAAATTTGTGTTGAGAGCCTGAATTTTATTACGAAAGATTAAATGCTAGTTAGACTAGTGAAAGTAAAATGCTTGAAAAATATATTTTTTTTTAATTAAGCTTCTTTTTAAGTATGGAAGCTCCATAAGATACAGCGCTGATTAAGTAGCCACAAATTTTCACTATTAATTCAAACTATCAATTTAAATTTCTCTTCATATCATGGTATGATTATTCATATATAAAAAAATAAAGTTTTTTTTTATGGTTTAATGTTTTTTCTAAGAATTTAGCTTTGTTATAAAGATAAGATTTTCGCATTATATTATATAAATGATGACAAGTGACCGACGCGGTTGGCTCGTATAAATTCCTGCCGAAAGTTTGAATTTTTCACCACTTTTTTGCAACAATTGGCGCCGTATACCCGTAAGTGCAATAACGCACCAAATATTCTCTTCCAAGGCAATCGATTTTCTGCGTAAACAATTGAATTCTCATATCCCCATTAATAATAGTTCGGCTCAGGACACGAGATAAAGCGCTCATCAAAAGTCTCCTTCAATAAATTGATTGTTTCGTTGACATGTATGGCATGTATCGACCGAATATTGAACGACATAATCGCTCAGCAGAGTTGGTAATTCGATCGTTTTCCCATCACGTTTATTCTAGTGGATAATACGCATCCTCCGAGATGACGTACAGTGCGCTCCGATCGTGTGCAACACGTGTGGAGCTATGTCCATCCACCTTATGGATGGAGTTTACGGAAGAATCTTAGTTCGCGGAGTTGCAAAATCCAACTCGTGCAAGAATTGAAGCCGAACGACCATGAAGCGCCTCTCACGCTCGTACAATATGCTCAAAACGAGATGCCCATCGATGCCGATTATCACAAGAACATTTTGTTCAGCATTGAAGCTTACTTTTGGGTAAATAAGCACGTTAATAATAATAATAATATTGTCCCATTTGGGGTGATGAGGCCGTTACAACCTCATAAAGTCAACGTTTAGTGTGTAGAGTTGAGTATTATTGGTCCATACTTCTTTAAAACAGAAGCCGGCCATACACGTACGGACAGTCAATAGGGAACGCTATAGAGCCATGATTAATAACTTTTTCGTGACTGAATTTGAGAATTTAGTGGTAGACGACCTTTCGTTCCAACAAGAGAACGAACCATCTTTTTAGTAATAACTTTCCCCGATTTGATTCTGGTGTAAGTCGGTTATGAAACGGCAAAACAAAGTGAGTTCAAGCCAAGTAAAAGCTGTTAAAAAGATCAACTCCGAAAAAAGTATTGCCATATTGAAAACCACACGTTGAAATAAACACCCTTTATATTAGAAGTATTGGCTAGATTTGTGTATGTCTGTGCGAATAATTTACTCATTAAATAATTTTATTTGTGCATTATTTTTCACTTTCGACCAAAATGCAGAAATTTTCCATCAATACATATAGCCATCAAACACACAAAAATTAAAAGCATTGTCGTATGTCCTTATATACATACTTAAGTATGTATCTATGTATATGAATAGCTGTTGTTTAACATATACAAATAATAGTTGCTAATGCGTTATTTAATGGTAAAACTGTGAATTTTCGTAAAAATAGGGAGAAGCCTTTAGTGATCTACGTTTTCTCCAAAAACTCTAAAGTTATAAAAGAATTGAGAGAAAACACAACAAGCGGTGGATTTAGCAGCAATGAGACTCTAATGCATTGTGGAGGTATTTAAGTGTGAAATAAACTTTTATTTTATTTTTTTTTTTTATATAAAATACACAATATAACGCACGTATATTAGTTCAAGTATTAATGCACTGAATAATTTTGTTTATTTAGTATTTTGTAGATATATTGCAAACTACACGTTATTTTCGCTTTGAAAGTTTTAGTAATTTTAACTGAAACTTTTTTGCCTCATACACTACTTTTTTATATAAGATTTTAATAACTTCTTTTCTTTTATATGCGCTTAAATATTTCTGTTTTGAACACTAAATTTCTACAATTTTCACACCAAACAAATCTACTTAAGCTTTGGACGATTTCATTTGAAGAGAGGTAGAAAAAATACTGTGGGCTTTTGATCCAAAATTTTTTGAAATCCAATTATTATATACTACTTTCACTGCTACAAACAATTTATTCTAAACATGCTTTAACACTTATAATCAGCAAAAAAAAACCTTAAAATTCTATTTTCATCGCCATACTAAATATTATAATAAACGATAATTATTATTAGAACTTAGTACTAACGCCAAACCACCTGTTAATTATTATTCATTATTTTAATTAATTGCTTTCTTATTCAGAGTTCTTGCATGTATTAAAACTCATTTATTAATAAGTACTAACAATGTTGACAAACGCTTTTTTTCATCAGCGTATGGCGAGTTATGCAGATTTATGTGTAAAATCACTAAAAAGAAAATTTAATATTTTGGTAAAGGAAAACAATTTTTATAAATTTAAATCAACTCGTGGTAACCTGTTAAATTTCACTACACCAAAAAGAATGTTTTAAAAAATTCAAAAATTCTAGAAATATTTTAGAGTAAAACTGGCAGATCCGACACAGGATGTTGCGGCTTCCTTTATTTTTTTTCCAATTAGTGTTGCTAAAAAAAGCCCTAATTAAACATCATATAACTCCAAATATTGAGTATTTTACTATACGAGGTGTGTTCAAAAAATATCGCGAATTTTGTGTTTTTCAAAAATTATTTACTTATTCATGAATATCTATTTTGCCCCCTTCAAAGTAATCCCCATGAGATATTATACTCTTGCGCCAAACGGTTTTTCCAATCTTCGAAGCACTTCAAAAAATCATTTTTTTATCTTGTTCAGCTCCTCAGACAGCATCGACAGTCTTTATCTCGTCAATCGTAGCGTAATGTCGTCCTCTCATGAGCATCTTCAGTTAAGGGAACAAGATAAAGTCACAGGGGACCAGGTCTGGGAAATACGGTGGCTGCGGCATCATTAGTGTGTTGTTTTTGCCCAAAAAGTCGCACACAAGCAACAATGTGTGAGCAGGGGCGTTATCGTGGTGCAAAATCCAATTTTTGTTCTTCCACAAATCCGGGCGTTTCTGGCGGATTGCTTCGCGCAAATTGCGCATAACTTGCAGGTAATATTCCTTATTGACCGTTCTACCCTGTGGCAAGAACTCATGATGCACCACGCCCCTGCAATTAATTTTTTCGTCTGTTGTTGAAGTGCTCGGGCGTCCGGCACGCTCTTCGTCGTTCACATCTTCTCGGCCTTCTGAGAACATTTTGTACCACCGATAAACGTTGCTTCGGTCCAAGGTAGCTTCTCCGTATGCCACAGTCAACATTCGGAATGCATCCGCGCACTTAATTTCGTTTTTCACACAAAATTTGATACAGGTTCTTTGATCCATTTTTTTGAATAGGTAAAAATCGAAGACCATCCAAAACACGTGCAAGCAAAGCAGCTGTCAACAATTAAGTGAACATTCAAAATGGCCGAGCTTGTTGGCATAAGTGACAGACATGAGTACCAACATAACGCCACAAAAAAATCGAAATTCGATTACACGTAACCCGCAAAAATTCTAAATTCGCGATACTTTTTGAACACACCTCGTATTATTGATCTAACTACTAGTTTGTAGTGACATTTCTTCGCTGCTCAAAGGCTTTCAAAAAAAAATGTCAATTTGAATGGACCAAACCTCGAAGTGAACCAAACGCACCATTCGGCTCTAGGCTTATTCACACTCAAGTTGAACGGATAGGAATGGCTTGTAGCACGTAGTCGCAGAATAATAACAAATACGAAGCGAAGGCAGCTACACAGGATCTGTGCTCATATCCAAGCCATACCGATTTTGCCCATCTGTCGGTGATCCCTTTGCTGTTGAGAAAGTATTATATTTATTTCGAGCACGTCGAACTTGGTGCCAGGTCTCAGGTTCATTCCAGGAAACAGAAAGTTTTCGATTTGAGCGTATTATCCAAAAATTTAACTAAAGCGAACCACACCTTTTTTTCATAACAAACCCATCCACATTCCATAAAAAAAATGCCAGTAAAATGAACTATAAATACAATTTTTTCGAATAGTTTGGTCCATAGTAATCTTCCCGATGGGGAAAATAGTATTCCTGCTAATCTAAGCCAAAGATACTTATGTTCCGAATTTCGAGTAAGTCGAACTACTTCCCGATCAACCTTGTGACATTCTCTGCCGAGAGGCGACAGCAATTTGAAAATTATTTTGCTATAATTGTGGATGTTGGTCGGACTCGAACACTGGCCTTCGGAATGTAATATATAATACTGTGCAAAGAAAGCTACCTGATTTTTGACACTCTCATTTATCATGGACCAGTTCTAAAACACGCTTAACTTGTGTCTGGTATTTGATGTTGAGAATATAGAATAGCTGCTAAATTACAATCCTCTGGTAAAAAGAAATTTCTTTTTGTACCTTCTTTATATTCCTCACTCCCTGGCCTAGTTGAGGTTTGATTTATTGGGCTTGCGCCACCCATTGATAACCATTCTGCCACAGCAGCTTCGAGATATTAGTTATACGAGGGAGCGTTATTATGTTGACGGAATGAGAGGGTTATAGGTGGGTGAATGTATTAATTAATTCTCTAAAGTGCTCATCGAGTCATAATTAGTATAAATATGAGGTTTCATTGTTATTAGAAAATTAGTCTTTGAGCTATGGTCAAGTGAGCTAGATAAACTAATGTGAAATCTCGAAAAAAGCGAATATCGAGCCGTTATGAATTTCTTAATTAAGTAAAAAAATCAGTTGCGACCATAATGCATGAGATGTCATTGGCTTAAAAGTGGCACAGTTTATTTAAACAATCCAGGGAGTCCCTTCAAGACACCAAAAACCGAGCAAAATAAGCGAGGTGACCACGCTAGAACTTATTCAAAAAGTTGAAGAAATTGTCCTCGACGATGCTCAGCTAAAGAAAAAACAACTCACATAAATGGTTGAAGAATCCGATACAAACGTTTTTAAAACCCTGCACGATCATTTTGACATGACTAAGCTCAACGTAAGGTAGGGGCCCCGAGTATGCTCACGCCTCCGCAAAAATAACAGCGCGTAGAGTGTTCACGTGCATTTTTGGACCTGTGTTATAAAGAGAAGGATGTTATATTGAGTCGTATTTTTACTGGAGATGAAACTTAGATTCATTATAATGAACCAGAGTCGAAACAAAACTCCATTCAGTGGCATAAAAAGAGCGTAGCACCTAGCAAGAAACTTAAGGTGTTCACAGTCAACCGGCAAACTCGTGGCAACAACAGGCTGTTGGCACTTAGAAGGAATATTATTGATCGTTTATAAAAATAAAATTGCTTTTATAACTGGAGAATATTGTGAATTAATATTAGAGTGACTAGAATAAGCTCTTTAAGTGAAAAGACGCGGAAATTTAAGAAATAAACATGAGCCGCGCTGCGTTGTGCATTTTAAATTACCCATTCTACAGCCCAGACGTGGCACCAAGTGATTGTTACCTGTTTCTAAAAATACAAATAGTACTGGGGTTTAAAAAACTAATCACGGATGATGAGATCAAGGCAGCAGTTTCACAGTATTTTGAAGATAAAGAGATAAAAAAAATGTATGAGGGTTAATTAATTAATTGAAAGATCTGAGAAATGTAACCGTCTTGCAGGTGAATAAAGTGAAAAACATGAAACAATAATTTAAAGTAGTAGTAGTTGCATTCTCTCTTCGCAGCCGGCTTTATAGCTATCTGACATTAAACGTGTTTCGACTTTTTCGCGCTATCATCTTCTCTTGAAAAGAATCTACTATTTTTAAATAAAAAATATGTGAAGAATTTTCATATTTTTTTAAATGTTTAAACATTCAAAAAACACGTATTACATCGTATTTTCCAACCCCTGATTAGAAAATATTAAGAAAGTATCAGAAAATGAAGGGATTTAGACACCAAAATTTAAATCGAATTCAAAAAGTTGAGGAGCTGAGTGGAGTTGCTATAACTACAAAAATCGATCTCACAATTTTAGAGATGTTTCAAGAAAATTTTGTAAACAAAGAGGACATTGTTTCAATAATTGTTGGTTTTTAGAGCAGTGCAAGTTATAAAAATTGCTTAATTACGCAAAAAGTCGATTAAACTTTCAAACACTTTTGAATTCAAACTAACCGCCAAATATATTGATATTAGTCAGTTAGTTAGATAAACGGCTTGTTCGATCACGGAACTTTGATCTCTTGATGATACCAATGTTGGTTCTGTGAAGAAGTTTCCCTCAGCTTTCCAGATGCTCAAACCACTTAGTGCATTTCACGAAGTTAAGGAGGTTAATGATGCCCAGAGATGCAAGTTTACCAGGGTTTTTACTATCGCTATCCGGTCAGCTCATCGATTCCGCAGTTTTCTGGGTATCCATAAGACCAGGGACCCAAACTACGAGCCCATCGATCGCGCAGTTTTCTGGGTATCCATAAGACCAGGGACCCAAACCACGTGCGTTTCGCAACTAGTTGAGAAAACCTTTAAGTTTTCGAAAAAAAAGTAAAAGACATAAACTATTTTCATTTTAGTTATTCGTTTTGCTACATCTGACACCCAATAAAAACGGTTTAAAACCAAATATTTTAATAGATCCATACGTGTATTCAATATTTTAGTATCTACTTAGAATATAACCTCAAAAATAATTAAAAAATCTCCAAGTGGAAAATGTTATAAGTGGCAAGATCAAACATTTCTGAGCAAACACGTTTAGTGTTGAAAATTTCAAAGTGAAATTACCTTATAGAATTTTTGTATCATGGTGAAAAATACATTTTTTTTTTACTTCCACCTCTCTTCACCCGTAACACACAAAAATGCTCTCTCGTATCTGCAGCAAAAAACAAGTGCGTTGGAAAACAGTCTCTTTTTGAATTTAACTTAATTTGAATGCCTTAAAGCAAATGATTGGAAGTCACCTTCGGCTAGAAAGATTTTTGAACTTCTTAAGAGAGATGTTTGGGCTTTTAAAGCTCATTAAATCCTTGACATTTAATCGCTATTTAGTTTTTATTTAATTTCTTTGTTGGTATACTAATACAGTTTTTGTTATATTTGCTTAACCAATTAATTTTATTTAAAAAATACCAATAATAATAATAATAATAATAATATACAGTATATAAGTGCTAAACTTTATTAAACTTATTTGTACTTGATCATTAATAATTCAAACCATTGAAAACCAGCCAATAACACTATAACTGTAGTTTGTATTGTTTCTAAATTTGTATGTAATCTAACGAGCGTTGAATCCTCGGGGAAAAGCTAGTTCCAATTTTTTCCTCTCCGTATTATTTTAGCAAAAAATTTTATTTCGACTTTTGCATTGCTAAACTTGTTCACAGCATTGATTCTTCTTCATTCTTTGCAAACATAGACACCGCTTCCGCGGTTATAACCAACTTAACGGCTGTGCGCCATCCCTTCCTTCTATGCGCTGTTTGGCGCCGATTGGAATATCAAGGTCATTCTCCATGTGGTCTTTCCTACGAAGTGGGGGTTTTCTTTTTTGCTCTACTTCTACGGGCGGGTACTGCATCGAAAACTTTCAGAGCTGGAGTATTCTTATCCATCCGAACTACATGACCTTGCCAGTGTAACGCAGCCACTGTCAACAGTGACGTATCTTCTTGTAGAAGAGTTGCCTTCTCTATTCAGCTTTGCAGCCCATATTATTTTCTCCAACAATGAATAAAAGAAGTCAACTTGTCTAAAACCGCGCTTGTTATCGAACGACTCGGAGCGGTCCTTCCCGATTCTGACGCAGCTTTTGGTGTTGCTTATCGTCAATTTATAAAGCCTAATAAGTTTTGCTGGGATACCAAATTCAGACATAGCGGCATATAGGCAGCTCGTTCTCGTGCTGTTGAAGACTGCTTTAAAATCGGCGAAGACGTGGTGTGTGTCGCTCATCTTTTCACGGGGTTTTTTCCATGGTTTGATGCATTGTAAACATCTTTTTAATGAGCCTAAGACCACACATAATAAGCTCGATAGAATCTTAAATTCGATATTTAGCAGGGTTATCCACTGTGGGGTCCCCTTCTTGTGGACTGGGTAGAAAACTTTTAAGCTCCAATAGTCGGGCATGCTTTTATCCGACCATATTCTGCAAAGAATGCATCTTGCTTAGTGCTTCACCACCGTAATACTCTGGGCATCGGTTGCATATCATCTCTACAAGGTTCCTATAAGAGTTTGCTCCTATCTTTAACCCTTCTTTGTAAATTTTTTTATCATTACCGTTGTCCGCCAGCTTTTCATATCCATCATTATCTATGCATCAGAAAACACAAACTATGCAGAGATCAGCGACTTTGCGTTATTTTGACGACTAGGGCTCGGTATGTACCAGTGTTTCAGTATGACTAAGTAACCAAAGTTGAATTAAGTTGATCGAAACACCACTGTCTCGCTAAATCATGTACAAATTTGTATAAATCATCACACTTCAACGTACACGACTTAATTCCATCTTTTGGGTGAGATAAAAGTTTCAACTCACTGAAGAGTAAAGAGGAGGATGCAGTAAGTTCGTGAGGAACCGAACATTAAATACTCGGCTGATATTTACATTAAACGCCTCACTAACTATCTAACTCTCGCAGAAGTACCCTTCAAAGGCTTAGTAAGGTCAATCGCTTAAAGATATGAAGTGTCTAAGCTTGAGGGGTTAAGATGGAGATGTTGAGGTGGAGTTGGAAAGGGAATGTACATATTTATTGAGTGGACCTCGGGTGTTGAGCTCTGTTATAGGTGAATAATTACCATATTTAGCATGCTCTTAAGAAAAAAAGTCGGGAAGCGAGAGAGTCGAGGGAGAGAGAGAGAGAGAGAGAGAGAAATATGCTACTAAAGAACCAACCGGTGACAGATAGTACTTTTGCGCTTTCCCCCCAAGGACGAGCTGCTTGTTAGAAACAACCGATTTGAATGTACAAGTTTTCAATACAAATTATAGCGTTTTTGAATTAAATGTTGTTGGTATCTAATCTAATTTTGATCTATTCATTTAACCTTATCTTTGCTATTGAAAAATATAAAATATTATTTAACTAAAACTAACGACATTTTTTTTGCTAATTTCAAAGTTGACACATTACCATTTGGCGGCGTTGGCTCTAGCGGTATGGGCCGTTATCATGGTAAATATGGATTTGAAACTTTCACACACAAGAAATCGTGCCTTGGCAAAGATCTGCATCCACTTGGTGAACTGTTGGCTTCGTAAGTTTTTAATAATTTCGAATTTGTTTTTTAATTTGTTTAAGTACAAAATTAGAATTATCTTAATTCTTTTTTTTATTTATTTCAGTGGCCGTTATCCACCATATTCAGACCGCAAATCGACCTTATTAGGCATTCTACTGCGCAAGCGTCGTCCATTCCCCAAATTGTATCTGTCACATCTATTGGCTGTTGGCTTGGGTATTGGTTTAACGGTACTCTTTACTCATTATATGCAGGTAAATTGATTTATTATTTTTTTTTGTTTAATTATTGCATTTAATTAAATTGTGACACTAATTGTGGTTGTATTTCATATTTTCTTTTTTCAATTTTTATTTAACACTAAATTAAACCAACAATGGAAAATGTAATAAAATGTTTGCTTAACGCTCATACACACGCATACATACATTCCTATTCCTACTCCTTAAATGTAAATGGAATTTTATCAACACATTAAAGGGCAAGCTATTCACACGCTGAAATCGCTTAATCGGCGTCGGATGTGCGTCAAAAAACAAAAAAATAGTTATCATTACAACACCAACACCATCACTACCATCGCAAAAAAAAAAAAAACAAAAACAACGTGTTGGTGTAATTTAGTTATGCATATGAAATAGAAATGATTTAATGGCGGTCAGCATTTCATCGTTATGGTGTCAGAGTTCGTTAAATGTACATACCCACATGCATACATACATACAAAATTATTTTTAACTACACTGTTGACTATAGTTTGCGCTTAATTTTTTTTTTTTAATTTTTCTTTAATTATTTTTTGTTTAATCAAACTCGGTTTTTATTTTGGTATCTCCAGACATTTTTCAAAAATATGTAATACAAAAAAAAAAGCTATTAGCATATGAAAACACAAAAATTTAAGCATTTGGTGAAAACTAGTTAACAGTGTTGTCTACATCATACATAAAACTATAATTATATATGCCTTTGTAGTTGTTATGAATAAACTTGAAATATATATTGTTTTTTTAATATTCAAATTTTACATACATACATACTTTTTTACTTATACTTTGCAGAGTGATAACGATAAGAATTAAAAATAATGTTCTCTAACAAAAATAAAAATAAAAATAAAAAACACAAAATTTAGTTGTAAATTTGTAATGCTGCATGTGAACTATGTATGCAGGGCGTTGTATTTAAAACAAACAAAAAACTGTGTATTTCTAAAAATGTTATTTAATATATATGTACATTTATACTATAATTAAATATGTAAACTTATTTTAAATATAATAAAAGTGAATATAATTTGATATCACCTTTTATATGATTCTTCATTGAAATTATGATGTGAGAACATGCATACATACGTATGTATTGTATATAGGCGCATCTCAGTTCCAACGGCAAGGGATGTTTAATCATTATATTAGATCGAGTATAAAGTAATCCATTATTTTAGCAATTGTTAGCTTTAGTAATCTGTATCTCGCGCACTATACGCGCGATTGGATTACGCTAGATGGCGTTAGAGAGCTGATATTTTGCATTAAAAAAGATAACGGTAAAAGTGTTAATCACTTAATATAAATTAATTTATTTCTGACAAACAAAATTGTATTTTTTAATCCATTTTGTGGTTTCAAAAGTACAGTACTGTATTTTGACTTTTGTCAAACTAAAAATGTTTTGTTTTGGTTAAAAGCTAAGCATTTATGAAAATGGCTCGCTAAATACACCACAACGTCTTAAAATTGTTCAAACCTACTAGAGGGTTTTCCAATAAGTGTTACTATTTTGATATTTAAATAAACTTTTCCCTTAAAATATCGTTTTCCGTTTCGTTACTTGTGGGACAGAGGTAGCGCGGTCTGAAAGTAAAGAAGTACAGATCAATATCATTCAATTCCGACCATGAAAAATCAATCAAAATCATATAACGACAGTGCAATCCATTCATTTTCGAAAAAGCAAGCTCCAATGACTGCATGATCATAAACCGCAACACCGTTACACGTTGAAGATGTAGCGGCTTTTCAAAAATAAATCCGTTTGGATTTTCCGAGCCGAAAATGACACACATTTGCTTATTGACGTAGCTATCGCGGGGGAAGTGGTCTCCATTAGTCAAGATGTTTCTTAGGTGAGATTTTTATATTGAATTCTAATAATTATAAAGAGCTGTTTGAAGCTTATGTCGTTCCATATTTTACTGACACCTACATCCATATAAAGTCCAGCAAACAACTGAAGCCAGTTGACCATTCAAAATGCCGTGCATACGTCGAATGGATGCTTGAACATGAATTGAAATTTCTTCAGCCCCGAAGCACATCTCTCACTCGATAGGTACATATGTAAATAAGCGAAATTGTCGTATTTTGGGCTCCGAGAATGCTGAAACAGGTGTGATTGGACCTTGCTTTTTTGAAAACGACAACGGGGAGACTGTCATTATGGTCGTATGATAATTTTCTCTTTCTTGGTCTGCAATTGAAGAACACAACTTGGATAATAAGTGGTATCAACAAGATGGTGCCGCATACCACACAAGACGACCGAAAATACTTAAGTTTCTGAGGTGTTGGAGTGTTTAAAATACACCCATGTCAGAATCCAATCACCTGGAGAAGAATTTGTCGAAATGGGTACTTGGAAAATAATGGATGAGTACATAAGTTCGTGCCCGATTCCACTGGATGCCGTTCGAATCGTTTGAGAGTGGCGCTCGTGAAAGAAATATATACATATTAAATATCGTTGGAAAGGTGACAGTCCGAACTGTAAATCAAGCATGGAAGATGGACAACGAAAAAGATCATATGCGTCATATTATGTTATACGAATTCNTGTGTTTGCATGGCGCTCTTATAAGATAGGTTACTATGGACGGCTGGTACGCGCGTTGGGTAGTTGCAGCATAAGTTGAAGTTCAAACGCGTTGATGCCGACGAAAATATACAAACTGAGGTGTAAGAAAACCATATATGTATATACATGTAATTTAACCATCAAAGTCTTTTTTCCAAATAAAAATATATGAAATGAATTTCATTACATTACATTTTATTTTGTTTATAAACAGAAAAAATAAATAAAAAAATTAAACATACGCAAGGCAAATTTACAGAAGGTGAAGTCGTCACATCATACGATTGCTTGTTCTTCCTTCCATTTCAAAAAAAAAAAATCACACAGACAAAATACATGAGAAATAGGTTTTGCCATTTCGAACGTTCGTTCACACAAACAAAATACTTTGAGCGATTTTCATTTTTAACTTTTCGAAACTATGATTACTCAAACAAAATACATATGCTATATGTTTTTGCATTCTTGCTACTACCGTGTGTGAATTTGCCTTGAAAAGCAATCATATGATGTGACAACTTCACCTTCTGTAAATTCATCTTGAAAATACGGAAGATCTTAAAAATTGCATAACAATATTGTATAGAAAAATACAAACAAACACCAGCTGTGAAGCAGTTTTGATGTAAACACAACGCGAATTCGTGTGAACTTACCTTAAAATATTCACAATAAACAAACGAACCAGAAGTTAAGTAACAAGAACTTGGTCCCGTTAAAGATTAAGTTCATAAAACATTTCGAAAACGGGCTTTTCAAACTTTGAACACCAAAGCGCACTTTTTATTTTTATGTGAACCAACCTTACGTCGTAAAAAAATGTCGATAAAAATTGAAAAGATATGGCATTAGTTGCAGTTGTCAACATAGACGATTTGTATGGCAACCTTTAACTGATTTTGTGTTAATTCTGTGAAATCATTGTTTTAAAAGTTACATTTTCTGTGCGTAAAAAAATAATATTTGCATGCGGAAAATATGTCGAATAACGATGAATTAATCGCACAATTCATAGAGATAAGCGGTGGAGATGAAAATGTCGCCAGATTTTATTTAGCAAGCTCAAATTGGTCCCTGGAGGTAAGTATAAATTCGATATTTTTGTGATCTAGTTATATAGATTGTGTTTTAACTATTTAAGGATGCGCTATCCAATTTTCTTGGCAATCAAGTAGATGGAGAAGGTGGAAATGATGAACCAACCACCGAGCGAAATGCTGGCGGTGCAACTTTGGATCCAACTCCAACAAATTCTACTAATCGTGGCCGCCCAGTAACCGGCTCTGTGGACAATTTTACCAAAAAGAGTTCTGAAAGACCAAAGTAAATGTCTATTGACGTTGAAGACGTTAAATGTAAATTAAATGTAAAATTATTTTATCAACAGAGTTGCAACATTGAATGACATGACAAAGCGTTCATCGAATGAGGAGGAAGGTCAGGCCTTTTATGCAGGCGGATCAGAACGTTCCGGGCAGCAGGTTTTGGGGCCACCAAAGCGTAAGAATTTCCGTGAACAGTTAACCGATATGTTTCGCATGGCACAAGAACACAGTGGTGGCGAATCTGCAAGTACCTCAACTGGTGCTTCTACATCTGGTGCTGTGCAATGGGGTCAGGGTGTACGGTTGGGTATGACAGACAATGATCATGCTGTCGTAGGTGGAAAAGAACAGGAAGATAGCAGTTCAACAGACGAAAAAAGGCCTATTGTTGTGTTAAAATTATGGAGCCAAGGTTTCTCTATAGACGATGGTGAATTACGTCTATATGACGATCCAGAAAATAAAGAGTTCTTGGAAACTGTGATGCGAGGGTAAAATATTCTATTGTAGTTATATCAATATCAAGTATTTTATGTCTGAATTTAATTATAAATATAGGGAAATACCACACGAATTGCTAGAAATGGGTTGGTTAGTCAATGTTGATGTAGAAGACCATCGCCACGAGGATTACAAAAGAAAAACTGTACCACCTAAATTCAAAGGTTCTGGCCACACACTAGGAAGGTAATGAATAGAGTTTTCCCTATTTTATGGATTAGGTGATTAACAAATGTTCCGATTTCAGTCCCACGCCCAATGTAGAAGTAGCTGCTGCTGCCCCTAAGAGTACAACGCAAGCCACAGCTGTTGCTGCTAAAGGTGACGAAAATTCAGCTAAAGATAAACTTAAGGTCGATACTTCCCAACCTACTACAACATTGCAAATACGTTTGGCTGACGGTTCACGCCTGACCGCACAGTTCAATTTAAATCACACTGTGGCCGATATACACGACTATATAAGAAAGTAAAAACATACACATTATTAAATTCTTTCAAATATTTAATCAATTCATATTAATATTTCCATATAGCGCAAGACCCCAATATGTGGATGGCAATTTCCGGTTAGTCTCCTCGTTCCCAACACGTGAACTTAGTGATGAAGCAGCTACAATAGAGTTAGCTGGTCTCAAAAACGCGTCAATAATGCAGCGAATGAACTAAATTAAATACTACTTACATCCATGCATATGCTCTTTGTGCAAATATTTTGAACACATTGGTATAAATAAAGCAGGAAGCGACTCAAAAAAATTTTTTCCATTCGAGTATTTCATTGTTTATATTTTAATAAATAAACTACATTTAATAAAATGGTTGCTAATAAAACTTGCTTCAATAATGCATGTATGAGGAAGTAACATTACTATGGCAATATCTCTGATATACTTAATTTTAAGTGCATTCTAAGTAAATATTTGCGTCACGGTTGTTCGCAATAAAGTCAAAATTATCTATAAAATTTATTCCAAACAGTAGTTTAGTTAGCAATCAACTTGTCTACTTCTCTTCTATACATATTCAAATTATTCATAAAATCTTCTCTCATCGTATTTTGCCACGGATGTAAGCCATCTTTTCCAACATGTAAACAATCAATGTATTTATGGGCAAATCCTAAAGATGGTGATAAATTAACAGTATTACTTATAGTAGAGGACACAGGCACAACCGGTCTGAAAATATTAATTTTATGCGAATTTACAAATTCTGGATCATGAAAACTGTTATTTGTCAGTAGTATAATCTTGTGATCAGTACAAACAGCGTAAGTTTTTAACTCGAATGCGGTTTCGATGGTGTTGTGTGAGTTTAATGAGTACACAACAGAATTATCATTACTTAGCTTGGTGTTTGGTATGAAAAATTCATTGGGCTCTAGAAGAAGAGCGTATTTTGTTCTTTGTATGCTTCGCAGCAGACAATCAGTTGTAATAATTTCACGTAAGCTTGACGTACTGGTTCCATTGTTGGCAAAAGGAAAATTGAAGGGTAATGATTGCACGTGGATATCTTTTTCCTTGCGTAACCTACGCAATAAATCTTCGGAAAGTTCGTCACCATTGTAAACAATGAACTGATTAACCCCAATAACAAAATGATGTAGAAAGAATTCCAGCATGTACGCATAGTTATATGCGAAACTACTGCTCATATTAAAATTAATCAAATCCAAGCAAATAGTCATTTGAGTTTGAGGTGCATTGTTTTCTTGATTTTTTGTAATATATCGCAAACGTAATTTGTGTTCCATATTCGTCTCAGCTACACTTAGGTCTGTGTAAACAATACTATATGGTATTTCACTGTAGCTCTTTAGTCGGCAATAAAATATATAATTTTTAAATTCATCATCTGATTTGTTATTCTCCTGATTCAAGTGTTGAAAACGGAACTTTCCTTGAATTTGTCGACCGTCTTTATATAGTGCTTTGCAGCGGAAATTCACCACAGCTCCAACTTTTCCAGTTACCAGAGTCAGTATTTCGCCACCGGACGACATAAGTTCATTGCGTTGATAGAATGATGCGTATGCGTAGAATGAATCCGCAATTCGTTGCCAAACTGGCAATGGTCTGTTAAAATCAATGTTGACCTCATTGGATGCCGTAAAGTTTGTTATTAGCCGCAATTCCTCTACATCCTTCCGACTAAAGAAGTGTACTGCGGTTAGTACATCTTTCAAACGTGAGTTTTCACTCTTGTATGTTAGCAGTACAACGATGCTAATACAAGAAATGACAACCAACAGTAATTGTTGATATTTACGCATTTTTGATACAATTATTACACATTCTTTACAGATATTAAAAATTTAATGAAAATAATAACAAATGCTGGATATCTTGCGAAAGGCCGCTGAAATAGAGTTACCGCTTTCGAGTAAGAATATAATTAAAAAGACAGTGCCGGTGAATTCGATAAGCTAGATTCATTATGGGTCAAGCCACTCAAGGATTTTGGTAAACTCGATTTTTTTTTGCTCACAGGGTTCTTTTGCAAATGGTTTTCAAGTGAAAAAATCGTTCAAATAGCCGAACTTTTTATCTTGCTGCAAACCCTCAGATCGTGCGCTGAGTACTATGAAAACATTAAGGCCCGTTTTCACAATGTCCGATTAAGTTAAACTTTATCCGGAGGATAACTAATCGGCGGATAGGCTGATGTGACATTTTCTTTTTTACCTAGTTCTGGTTACTTATAAAATTATAATTTAATGAAGTTCGTTGGATATACTTTTTATTGGGCAAAAAAACTTTGATGATTTTAAATTAAATGTACAGAATATTTGTGTCTAATATAGCCCGAAAAAAAACAGTAATAGTTATAAATGAATTTATGGTGTTTTAAACAAATAACTCACCCTAGCAACATAATCTCTGATTAGATCTTACAATAGCCTTTGTTTTCACCTCACCTATGATTACGTCGGTATCAACAAGTACTTCTGCTGCTTCATAAACTTGAGCTTCTACTTCATCAAGATTATAATTATTGTTCTGGATGACAATATTAAAGACGACACCCTGCTTTTTTCGGTATTGTGATGAATGATTGAACAAGCCGCTACAGCAATGGACACTATTTACCACTCGACTGGCAGTCGTTACTTTTATTCCGCTAAACCTGTAAAACAATATCAAAAATTTCTCGATGCATGAAAGTGTAATGTTAGAGAAAAATTTCCGCCGGTTTATTTCTGAAAAATAATATTTCTGCACCAGCTGTTAAATTATTTTCTGGTTAAGAGCTGATCACCACTAAATGTTGGCGTTAAGTTAACCGCAACTTAATTAACAGATGGGCCTTAACCGGACATTGTGAAAAAAAAAAATTATGCGAACTTCCGTTTAAGTTATGATTAAGTGCTTAACCGGAGATGGCGAAAACGACCGTTTTTCGCAAAATCACATTTTTCAAACTGGGAAGGCAGAGTTTTCGGACCTATGGCATTAATTTATCTGAAATGTTTCTGGTAGTTTCAAAAACATTTTTTTTTGGAAGTACGCATCCGTTTTTCGATTAAATGTAAACTCTTTCTTCTTCTTCTCTCTCTCCTTTAGAAGAACTCAGTCCCTCCGTGGGCATGTTTCAGAAAAAACAATAATGGACTATATCACAGCCATTTATAACATAACAATAATTAAGGATTATTCTTCAATATATGTTCAATGAAATGGTTAAATAGAAATAAATATTGAGTGCAAAAAAAAAATAGGGGTGCAGTGAGTTTCGGTAGAAAAACTTGGTTATGGAAAACTATCTATTAACTTCAGTGAGAGTGTGATAACATTTTATATTCAAAATGAAGTACTCAAATCACTTTGTATTCTTTTCATTTACTTTAAAGCCTTGCAGCTGATTCATATAAAAATTTGGTCTTATTTCACCTCAGTGTTGCGCTTTGATAGACATTTCGAGGCACGTATTTTTATCAGCAAGTACTCATTAAAACTTAGTTTGGGCGAGACGAAGTGAGGAAAGCAAAATTTTGCCGAACATTCAACTTTTTACTTTACCTACTTCACACCATTTTTGTTTCATCTATTCCTATGAAATTTCTTCCCGGTATTTTGGGTCTAAAATGTCCGCAGAAAAGTGATTGATTACCTGTGGGGAAAGAAGGCCTTATGTGTAAAATATTGTATTGAATATAATCAAATTTGTTTTCGACGAACAAATATTAAACTATTGTCGTGTATAGGCAATTTTAGACGTCTAACTTCCATCTGATGGCATGAATTAAAATTTGTAATTTGTGGCAGCATTAGTTATATGATTATTTTTAGCCACATATGGCAACATAACATAATTTGCATGATGTGGCATCGCTACTGAATGAATTAGGTCTGGTAACTCTCTGTGTGCGAAAAGTCGTTGAGTGGCTGAATTATATCCAGAGAAAATTTTGTGAAAAATTTATTTTAATTGCAATAATTTATATAAAATACTAATAAACTATATAGTTCTTGTTCTTAAAGTGGTGAGTGTTGAATTGTGTTTATTTATATAAAATATTGCTTGAAAATATTAAGTAAAAATGTATAGGTATATATTCTATATTCTGTAAAGTTTGGACGCCATTTTGGATAATTTGGTTCACAAACTAGTATACAGAAAATTTTCCATATATATTTATTAGTTTACAGCCTTTACATAAGTGCGCTGTAAAAAATTACGAAAATCGAGTTAATGAAACGTTTTTATGATTTGTGGAGTTGAAATGTCAAACATCAGTATAAACTAAGCGTTAGTTCAAAGTACCCCAGTTTCTCTGAGTTTAAAAGTAGGTTAAAGGGCAAAAAAAAAGGTAAAAATCAGTTTATAGATGTGCTTGAAATATTTTCCGTAACTTAACACTATTTCCTCTTTTACCTGGGCATTGGGTGTGTTTACATATAAAATTATACAAATATTTGTATTATACAAAAATATGACTTAAATTTTTATTAGCTATCTACTTTCCTTGATGCAATATTCTTTGATACGTACATCGGTTCATACACGTGTGCTTGCAATCATATAAACATACATATTTTTGATTCGTGCTTTGCTTTCTAGGTGTAAATTCTGTGATTAAGATACAAATGTGTAAAGGTTGCTAGATACGTGTTACCTACCTTTGAAATACCAATTGTAAGTTGTGTAGTGCTCCAGCATTAGTGAATTGAATAAAAAATTAATATGATATTTGTTGGGCGTAAACTATTAGGCGATTTAATTCATCGTTGCCCCCTTGGCGCAGAGGGAAAACATACGGAGGTGATTCTACTCATTGTCGTAATTTAGTGTACTTTCAGGACACGAAATGAATGTACAAAAATTTAAAAGAAGTACCAGAAAAATTTCTTGTAAGTTGCTTTGCGTGAATGTAAATCGGCAACAGCAGAAGCGAATTTGCAGGAAACAAGCAATAAAAGTTCGAAATTACGGGAGAATTTATAAAAAAGAAATTCGCTTTAAGGCGAAGTGCTTACCGGTGTTTCCACGATGTCGTATGTTTCTATTTCGCTCTCTTATTTGTAATTCGCCTTCCAATCATTATGCGTTTGTGTAGTTTTGTACATATGTACAATATATATTTTCAATATACTGTGTATACTGATGGTGCATTAATCAGTTTCAAATTAGAAACATGAGGGTCAGGTAAAGATCTTTGTTTACTTGTTATAATACAAATCAGTTATTTTATTGCTTCCTTGTCAACAATTTTGTTTGCTTTTTTGGGAAAATCATTTAAATTTTTGACCATATTTGATTTTGCATTTTCTCGTGGCATTTGTACTCTATCAGGTCTATTCTGTCCAGGTAATAAAATTTAATTCGATATTAATATTTACCAAAAAAAAAGAAAAGAATTTTGATTAAAAATTATATATGTATGTATGTATATATAAAACTGAACAGCTACTCATATGGTGCCAATTCATTTATAAGCTCTATACGTATTGAGTTGTTCAGGTGAAAATGCTATGTTCCAAATTAAAAGGGTAATTTATTGTTGCAAACATCTTAACATGCACCGACATCGAATTTGCGCTTCTTTATATGGCCTCTGTAGTAGATGTCACAAGAATTGTACTCGCCTTCGTCCTTGTTCCATCTATCGCATTTCTTGGAAGGCGGTGATGTCAGCCTTTACTTCAGCGAGGACATCAACCAGCTGGGCAGCTGCACCTTCCCAATTAAGGGACTGCATTCCAGGTGCATACCCTCAAATCATGATCGTTTAAACGTTAGTGGGGGTCGTCATTGTCAGAAGGGTGTCTCATCCAAGACGTCAAAATTGTTCATAGGAGCTGATTTCTACGTGGCATGTCCCAAACCCAGCGCACAACCTCGCTAGGCAAGTTTTTCCACATATAGCGAGTCGCTTGCTACAAGACCAACGTCCGTTAGTAGCCAGACTTTGCCATGACCCAAAGCTCCACCAACACGGGTTTGTTACTTCATCTTTCAGAAGGGTTGCTCACTTTTCCTGCGTGCGCGACGTCGACGCAAGTGTAGGGATTGAGTATAGCCTCGCAACTGTAACAGCATACCCAGAACCTTGACTACACCCCATTACAGTAACATCAAGAAACTTTCAGCTTTATTAGTGGTTAAATTAAACTTTCCCACAATTCAATCGACTCTTCTTTAAGTGAAACGATTCCCATATTTTAAAATAATTGCTTTCGAATTTTCCCTTTCAGACCAAACAACAGCATATATATCTGCTGGCGAAATATTAACAGGTAGGGTCAGCTGGTAATGTGCTAATATCGTTGCACGGCTGAAAAAATAATTTAAACCTTCACTTCATAATATGAAACGCAGTGCTTCAGGAGATTCACCAAGTCGAGCCAATCATTTAGGACGTTCATCACACGGTAGAACAATTATGGGTCGTGGTTATGATAATGGTAGTGGTGTGCCGGGTGATTCGCCGGAACGAATGTCACCAGATCGCATACGCCGTCGCATAGGTCGATCACCTAGTCCACGTGCACGTTACGGTGTTTCACCACATCGTGAGGAGTATTTACGAGGGCCACCACCAGTGGCGGATAGACCAACTTATAAGGTGCTCTGTGTTAGCGCATTGCATCCAAAGGCTTCTGATGATTTTATTAAGGAAACATTATATCGGGAATACAAGAAATTCGGTGACTTCAGCATTCGTATCTCACATGATTTGGATGAACGTGTTGCGTACGTTTGTTTCCGTACATCTGAAGATGCTCGTGAGGCAAAACATCATAAGCCCCGTATTGTATTATACGATAAAATGGCTTTGGTCGAACCTGTTTACGAATCATCTTCACACAATGAATATAGGTAAGAACCTTTTTGTTAATTAAATTTATTCATTACTAATTTTATTAATTTAATATTAATTTAGACCCCGTGGACGTTCAATTACTCCACCAGAATATGAACGCTATCATTATCCACGTTCGCCCATGGGTCCAGCCGGTCCAATAGAACATCGTAGACCACCACTCGATCCATACGAGCGTTATGGACCACCAATGCATCCACACGGACGTTCCCGTGAATATCGTGGTCCCATACATCATGAATACCCACTTCCACCACGTGGGCCGCCAATGCATCGTGTACCACCACATTTACATGGACCACCGCCACCACATCAATATGCGCCAATGCGTCATATGGGACCACGTCCTCATGTCCCTTATGAGAAGCCCGAGAGTAAGAAAGATAAATTTCCAAATTATCTTCACCACGTACAGCCCGAAGATGATCCACTTGCAACGCGTACTCTTTTTGCTGGAAATTTAGAAGTTAATATCTCAGATGAAGAATTGCGTCGTATTTTCGGTAAATACGGAATTGTTGATGATATTGATATAAAGCGTCCGCCACCGGGCACAGGAAACGCTTTCGCTTTTGTACGTTATCAGAATTTAGACATGGCACATCGTGCTAAGATTGAGCTATCTGGTCAATACATTGGCAAGTTTCAATGCAAAATTGGTTATGGTAAAGTGACACCGGCTACACGCATATGGATAGGTGGTTTAGGAGCTTGGACTTCGGTCACACAATTGGAGAGGGAATTTGATCGATTTGGTGCCATAAAGAAAATAGAGTATCAAAAAGGTGATACATGCGCATATATACAATATGAAACAATCGAAGCAGCCTCTGCTGCAGTCAAGGAGATGCGTGGATTTCCATTAGGTGGACCCGAGCGTCGTTTACGTACCGATTTCGCTGAATTACCTGGTACTACACCAGCAGCACCATTTAAGACTAAGACATATGAAGAAGCTCCGGAATATAGGCGTCCGGAATACGATTATCACTACGAAGAAACTCCACACTATGCACCTCGTGGAGGTTATTCACCCTATCCACCACGTGGTGGTTATAGAGGGCGTGGTGGTTACCGTGGTCGTGGTCGCGGCTCATATCATGTATATCACAATGATGTACACCGTCCAATGCATGGCAGCTCTGTTTCATCAATGCCGCCACCGGCGGGTGCTGAGGATGAATGGCGCCGTCCTCCAGGCGACTCATATGAGCGAGCACGTTCAGGTTCACGTGAACCAGGCGCTGATCGGTCACGTTCACGTTCACCACATAAACGTGCACACTCACCTGAGTCCGATTCTGATTCATCATCACGTCGTAACGGTGCTTTGAGTACCGCACGTACTCTGCCTGATATTGCTCGTAAGTGCACTGTCATATGGCAGGGTGCGCTCATATTGAAGAGCTCACTATTTCCGGCTAAATTTCATATGACCGATGGCGATGCTGACATTGTCGATTCATTGATGCGCGACGAAGAGGGCAAACATAATTTACGTATAACACAACGTTTGCGTCTGGATCCCCCAAAATTGGAAGATGTACAAAAACGTATTAGCTCATCATCTTCGCATGCAATATTTTTGGGATTAGCTTCGTCTGCTGCAACCACACTCGAGGATAGCAGCGTACAAACGCGACCATTACGTAATTTGGTGTCGTATTTGAAGCAAAAGGAGGCCGCTGGCGTCATTTCACTATTAAATAAAGATACTGAAGCTACTGGTGTATTGTATGCGTTCCCTCCATGTGAATTCTCTACTGAATTGCTAAAGCGTACATGTCAAAGTGTGTCTGAAGAGGGTCTCAAAGAAGATCACCTAGTGGTTGTAGTTGTAAGGGGTGGCACCGCTTAAATAACAATATCAAGTAGAGGCAACAGCCAACTATTTTTTCAATTATAAATCGCTTTCAGTGCGCTAAAATATTTAGTCAAAAAGGCAATTCTTTTAAAAACGCGTCGGTAGTGAATAATAATATATACCGAAAAGCTGAAGTTTACATAAGACACAATCAACATAATTTTTAAAGTAAGTTAGATGTAGTAGTATTTCAAAGAACAACTACACTTCTATTTAATTTAAACATGTGGAAAACGAGTAAAAAGTTAAGACACTTGCAGGAAGATTTAAATGATAAACTATCAGAACAACTTAAATTTATTTAATTTTTTTTTCATAAGAGAAAGTTCTCACGTAACATTGCAGATTTTAAAGCCCAATTATGGTAAAATCACAATTTCTGCTTTTTGTTGGAATTATTTGCTGTCTTAATATTTTACTCGCCCAAAATATATAATATATAGTTTTCAACACATTTTTCAGTTCATTATTTCTAGCATACATAATATAAATTTTAAAATCATACAATCACTTTAGTACATACATAAATACGTAAACACTTAAACAAGTTGATACTTTATAAATGCAAATATTTGTGCTCATGATTTTTAGTTCGAGAAGTGAATAAGTTGCTATTGTGCCAATTTTGTGAAGTTTAAGTTGATCAATTATCTAATCATCTAAACTCAACATAATAACCATTATACATATAGTATTTGAAAGCTATGTATATCTAAACTTTCTTCATAAATATTTAGTGTAATCATAAAATTTTATCAAACAAATTGTAAAAAAAAAAATCAACTAAATTGTGGTACATACCTACAAGTAAAATAATTATTTTCTAGTTTTGTACGCGTGGTGAATTCAATCAGAGCTTCAACGAAGAATTTAAATTTGGTAGTGCAGTGTGGCTCTGGCTATCTTCCAATGGTGAGCGTTAATTTTCAACAAGTGTTTGTGTTTTTTATAGCGGAATTGGTGGCTGAGAAAATTTGTTTGTGTTGAGTTTATTAATTTTTTTTTTTCAGTTGAGTTTGTGTTTTTTTTTTTTTTACATTTTCCTATAATAAAAAATCTACTCCTACAAAAGTAAGGTCAGTTTTATAATTTTATCCGAAGAACATTGTTTTGCAATTCAACGACTGATCTAAGAACAAAGTGAAGTTCAATACTACCCATATGAAAGAAGTTTCAGTTCGGAACTTGTGCAGTTCGTCTCTGAGGCAAACATAGTTGTGCCAGTGTGGATAAGATGCAATTTAAAGATGGTTTAAAGTGAAGCATTAAGAGAATTGCAGGTGGTGCTTGTGGTGGTGTCATGTAGTGGGTGTTTGGTGGTATATATTCCAAAATTACAATTGGTTACTGCTTGAAATGCAAACCCTGTACACAGTAAGCAGCGAATTGTGCTTAGTTAAAAATGGAAAGTGTAAACGTTTGTGGCAGAAATTGTCTATATGACTCCATATGAAGTTGTTCAATATTTTTGAGAGGGTGTTGCTTGGTGGTACCAACAAAGAAATAGTAAAATTCACCTTTTGCCTGTTAATTTCTACCTATGTATTTCATATGAGTGGTTTAATACAGCATTAACTTTCCGGTGCTTCAATGCCCAATAAAAGATCTCAGTGCATTATGCGCAAAAATACGTTGTTTGTCGCAATCCAAAATCGACGCGAGTGCCAAACGAGCGAGAGTGCGTCCGCCTGTGACTTCTGGAGTACACCTCCTCCAATCTCTGTGGGTGCAATAAAGAAATGTTAAGTTTTTGAAACCATGCTAAGAGAACCACGTGTAGCGTTTGTTTAAAATGTATTGCTACATATAAAGGGTTTTTTCGAATGCTACATTGTTTTCTTAAATTTGGGCAAATACCTCAAGTGTACTGTCTCATACTGTTTATTGTTTTTCATAGTGAAATGCTATCACTGCACACAATTTTTTTTAAATATATACTATTTTTTTTTTTTTTAAATAAGAGCCACGTTTGCAAATATGATTTTGAAAGTTCAAAGTAAATGAAGATGAAAACGTATGAGATTTATGTATTTATAAAATTATTGAAAATATTAATTTTTGATGTGTAACTTATGTATTTGCAAATATATCTAAATATGGAATGATTTAAACTATTGGCATGCTTGTAACGTATAAAACAAACCTATAAAATGAGAAATCAAAAGAGAAGTGCGTTAATTGTAAACCATAGTAATCATAATATCTGAATTACTTACATTAATTACTCAAAATAAATAATAAATATGAAAAAATATTTGTGTTATTATTGTGATAGTGTTTTTGTGGAGTGTTGTGGCTTTTTTAAGCAAGAAAATGTTGAGTTTTAGTTATTATTTATAAAATCCATGCATGTAGACGCAGAAAGAAGCTATTATTGAGTGGTAAGTCTAATATTGTCACTAACCTCCAAATTTGTGTTATCGCGACGAAAGCATATTAAGCACCCATTAAAATAGGGTAAAAGGAGTATTAAGTTTTGATGAAAAACAACATTTTAGCTAGGTACTAACCAAATTACCCTACAAGTTTCCATATAAGCTTTTTGACTGTCAAGTAAATATTATAATAATAAAAAGTACGCCAATGAAGAAAAAGTTTTGACTTTCCCGTCGGGAGTAGCTAAACAGACCCAAATGAAAAATTAATTTATAGAATGTTGATGAAAAAAAAAATGAATTTCAGAACTTTAAAACGGATGTAAATATACATATACGCAGTGTTTCAAACTAAATATAAATCGAACATAATTTTTGAATTTTTAATTAGTACTAAAAAAATATTTTATTGATTTAATAAAAAAATAAATACAAAAAAAAAAGAAAAATATGAAAACTATAGCTCATTTTATATTGTCAAAGTCTTGCTAGAAAATATTTATATGTGCAAAATCATATTTTTTTTTTTGAAAATTACACTAAAATTGGAATAAGGAAAAAATCAAAATATTGTCAATAAGGAAACGGGCTTCCTTTATGGAACTTCGCTAGATTCAGTCTGCGCGGCATAGAGTTAATTAAAATTTGTAGGGTTGTCAGATCGATTTTCTCGCACTCCCCGATTATAAATATCTTCTTTAAGCTGCTTAACGGTATCAAACTGCTTAGAATGGAAAATAATCTTCGCTTAGAGTATGCTTCAAAAGCTCGTAATGGGATTGAGAACTACATTCAAGGCAGGTCACTGTAGCAATGGAAGTTTGCGTGAATCGAAAAACGCTCAAGTGGCTCGAACAACATGAATTGCTGCAATATCATGTTAAAACGTTCACTTATTACCAAGCAAATCATGATCAAATTGTATCAAGTTTGCTCGCAACGAAGCATTTTTTTGTCTTGCCTCTAGCGCTAAATGCGGCCTGCACAATAAGAGTTCCGGTCGTCATGATTTCGCTTGTAACAGCTCTACCTGGGATGTCGTAACTCCCTCCAATTCTTTTGATGACCATTAATACCATTCAAATTAAACTTTTCGTGGTCACTAAAAATGACATTTTCAAATTCTTCATCCCAAATTGTGTATTTGTTTGTCGTAGAACGCAAAACGGACATCTTTGTTTTGTTGTGTAATACGCGGTTTGGGATTTGTAGATTTATATCGTGGCCTCGTAATATTGAATTTGTCTGCAACTCTTGCTCTTATTCGTCACTAGCAACTGAATATGGCGTTAAGTCTTACCATCGATAGTAGGCTTTCGACCACTACGCTTATCACGCCATAACTATCCGTATTTTTTTTTTTGAAGTTTGCAACACTATTTTGATGGCGGCTTACATAAGGAGCTATTACACAAACATTCACCCTTGCGTAATTCATCCCCTTGATCAAATCGCACACGTCCTCTGTTAACTCTCTTCCACGAGGCATTTCTATTAGAAAAAAATTTATATATTATATATATATATGTATATAGATTAAGTAACATCACCAGTGTAATGTTGTTATATGCATAAGTTATATTTATATATAAATATGCGACCAAAATTTCAGCTCAAAATTCACGAATCTGCTACAATATCACATATATTTTAAATTTCAACAAATATGAATTACTCACACAATTGGTTTTTCTTATAGTTTTTGTCAACAATAACCCACTGTGCACTTTTTCACCGCTTCGAATTTTTAAACACGATTTTTTTCACAAGATTGAGAGCATCCATTTTCCAAAAGCTCTTAAGCAGACAAAGAAAATATGCGAAAATTCGTTTTATATTAAATATATTATAATGATGTGCATTCGCTTAGAATTTCGAGAATTTATTATTTGTTTGACCATTATTTTCTAATGCCATTCTATTGGATGAGTGCATAAGTTCGTGCCCNCATGATTTCGAATACATAATTGATTAATAAAAGCGCTTTCTTCAAAAAAATTCAATTTTAGTTTGCACTTGAAATCGGGCATGAACTTATGCACTCATCCAATAATTACATCACACCAAAAGTTAGAGTTGCTAGTTTTTGTTAAAAAAATAATATTAATTTATATAATTGAAATTTTTTTTTAACTTAAAATACATTTCTTCAACTTAAAATTATTCCGGACGTTTTATTTGTGAAGGTTTTTAATTTTCAAAAATTTTACTGCAAGGCTTTGGAACTTTATTGTCAAAATGTTACTTTGTTTTATAAATAAAATCTTGCAAAATTATTTCAAAATCTTCGGTAACCCACAAAATTAAACCAACTTCGTCATTTAACATATGATTCAGCTCTTGTCGTAACTTTGTACTCTATAAACCTTGGGTTTTTACAGAGAAGTTAAAAAGAAATCATTCTTTCATAGGTAAGAACTCGTTATTTTCTGTTCTTTTCTTCAAAATTTTCAACAATTTATTTTTTTTTTAATCAATAAATTTTATATATACATACATGCATATTTACGCAATTTTATAGAAATAATTATTTAAAAATAATTTTACGTAATCGTTTGCGTCTAATCATAATACAAATAATACAGTGTTGCGAGCCCGAAAAATTTCGGCGTATCATAAACATAAGAAATATAACCATCCTTTTCGGCATCCCAAAGAAAGTTGACCAATGAGCAATAGCCCTGCATTACTTTTTCACCTATGGTCACCACACAGATGTAACGGTATCTGAAATATTCAATTTGAAAACCTTTATTCAAGCGTGACTCGATGAATATTATCTCTATTACATAGTGATGGTTCAAATTAAAAACATTGTATTTCTTTAGGTAAAGGAATTTTCTATTCTACAAAAACGAACGGCGCTTTTTACCTCACTTTCAAATTGTGGTGTGCGTTTTAATGTTTTTTCCAACAAACGGAGGGATCTACGGATCAGGTCTTGAACCCTGGTACATGTAATTCCTATTGTTTTTTTATAAATACAGAACCACTCCAATATACATATGGATATCTTACCACCAGGTGTGACAATTAAGTAATGAGACTGATTCCATAAAAACCGTATATTTCAAAATTATTCACAAATCTGCCATCCCCTTCAAAGTAGTAACCATGCTTCGTAACATTTCTGGAACGCTTCGACTAAGATGTCCGCGAGTAAATCGTCACCCTGAATGACCTCAATCGACTCGAAATGGGTTCCTATGACCTGACCACCGATTTTGAAATGAAAAAGAAGTCACAGGGTGAGATATTGAGCGAATAAGGTGGTTGGTGTAACACGGCAAGGCCAAATACTAGGACACGCCGAAGGCGGTTTGGCACGGCGCGTTGTCATGATGAAGTATTCAGTTACGAGCAATGTCTGGGCGCATCCTGTTGACTCGTTTTTTCAATTTTTTTTGAGTACCTGGCGATAGTAAACTTGATTTACGGTATGCCCCGAGAGAACAAATTCTTTGTGGACGATTCCACGGTTATCAAAAAAGGCAATAATTATTTTTTCCACCTTCGACTTGCTCATGCGAGCTTTTTTCAGGCGGGCACGTGCGGAGACAACCATTGTGAGCTTTTCCGTTGTATTGAAAAAACCAGCTGTCATCTCATCGCCTGTAATAGCTCGATCAAGCAGCGTGGGATCGTTTTCCACTTCCTTAGTCAGTCAGTCTTCTGCGACGGTAATACGATGCTACTTTAAATTTCTTTTTCCCATTTTCGTGACGAGAGCCACGAGCACGTTTATCAATGGAGAGAAGAAAGATGCAGGGAGAAGGGAAAGGGAATTTCAAGGTCGGAGGCTTACCACAATCGCGGCAATATAATCAGTCCCATTACTCAATATAGCAATGGCCTGCTTCATTGACTTTCTTCGAGATGATGATCTTTTTGTCGTTGCGGCGGATAAGTAATCCCGCTTAGTATCAGGTAAATTCAACCGATATAGCCGAGGTAATTTTATGAAACACCAAGAAATGAGTTGTTGTGCTGACACTTATTTAATGAATTAGACGGAGCTGGATTTAATACAGTATCCAGACCCTAATTGTGCCAGTTGAATTCTGATATGAATGGCGTTTATGATCATTCGGTAGCTCGAGCTGTATTTGTTGTACCCGCAAAAGTTTCCCAAAGTGGGAAATGTGACGGAAGTGTAAGCCCTTGCGGGTCGGTTCGGTATAATTTGTTGGCCGTTTTGTAGGAGGCAGCAAAATTTTCCTTTTCTTTTTTTCCAGCTTCTTTAGTTTGGTGACCGTAATTGTATATCCCATGTGGTTTACATTTAATCCAATATTATAAATATTCTGGCCAGGCACCAATCATCGTTATATGAGATCAAGGAGACCCCTAATGGACGGAGGAAGCTTCGAAAAGTAGAAAATAAGCTATCGCGCGGAGAAGACAACACTATTTGGAACCTTTGATTTTCCTCAGTTTGGAGTTGTTACCTTGAAATTTTGACGATAATTGAAGACCACTCAATTCGCCACCTCTTCAATCCTGCGGGAATTGAGGAGTCCTCAAATCAGTCAAATAGTTGCGCTTAGCGCTAAATGGTAAATTGGTAGATTGTCTCAAAGTCTACCAGTTCAACTCGTGTTGAAGCGATTAGAGTGTTTATGACGTTGAGTGCGGTGGTGGTGCTGTGGACATTAAGGGAGCAATCTTTGTAAAGAGAATGAGTTCCATATTTATTTATTAGGAAATTCACGTAACTTTTCATCTGGGATGACGGTTTGCAAAAGTACTGTTGTATCGACTTCGAGCAGTCAGCTTGTACATCTGATGTTTCTGGGAGTTGATTCTACTTGTTGCAAAAAATTATCCCTCCGTAGGCATTCCATATTTGCAGTTTCCTGATTTGCATCTTACTAGTGCTTGGATTTTGCGAACGCCGGATCTAACTATCTTTCTTTGTTCTCGTCACAACTACTGCCGGCTACCGACTGGGAAATGGGAAAGGTCGGAGGGTAGCCGCTCACCTTTGAGTAAAAATCATAATGATATGGACTGACGCAACGTATAGCCTTTGGCATATGAGGTGAATGAAACTCGCAGCAGAAGGCGAAAAGAGCTAGGAAAATTTAAAAGAAAATTAGTCGGAGAAAGAGGACATTAGCTAGTGAAGCTCTCTATTTAGATTTTCTAGGTATTGAATGTAGTTCTTGAAACTTCGATGTCAAATCGGACAAAATTAGTCTAAATATATACGCGTATATGTACATGTATGCGTTATGAAGAAATTACCGGTATATACTCTAAGATTATCTCAAAATCGGTTTAGCCAAAGAAGTTTTCGGGAAAGTGTTTTATTAGAAAGGTTTTAAATACGCTACTGTAGTATAGACAGTTGACTTAGCTATTTTCAAGAGTCTGGTGTAATCTTTAGACGGTGCACCCTGTTCCGAGTAATACCGGCTGCGGCATGTACAGTACGGAACCTTTTTAAAGATTTTGATTGATAGGAAAAGACTTTCAAGCAAAAATGGCCTTCTTCTTGACCCAGCCAAAAGTAGAGTGCCATTCGTTTCTTCTCTTCGAGGGTTTGACGCCAGTTGGAAACAACAAGTGAAACTAGGTCGCTGTCCACCTGATGCTCTTCCTTTACTTCCACCGGCGGTACTGCCATTGTCATTGATACTTTCAAAACTGGAGTGCATTCATTCATCCGGACGACATGATCTAGCCAGCGTGGCACTCATACAGCTCGTCGTATCGAAGTCTCTATATGTATAGTAACATAATTTGAAAAGCTGCGATATCTCGTGACCAGAACAATCGTGTTTTTTTTTCTTTAGATAAATGATTTTAGTTCAGAAATATTCCAATTAAGCAGTTAAAGATAGACACGTGGGTTTAATGCTTTTTCTTCTTCTTCTACTTGGATATATATTTGTTTTCCAATACATACTGATTGTGGGCGGCCGTATTAACCAAGTGGTTATCAATACGTTCTCAAATACGGAGGGTCGTGAGCTCGAACTCCGGCTAGACAAATATTCAAACTTTAAAAATTCAAATTTTCTAATTGTTTTCACTCCACGGCAGGGAATGGGGGGCTTAAAGTCACGACCTAAGGTAGTTAGAGATGACACAGCATTTCGTCGCTAATAATACTAATTACGGCACTCATTATTAGTATAAATGACACTACTTTTTTTTATTAGACTCATTTCGTTCTTGGTACACAACACTATGTCAACGGAAACTGGAAATTTTTGCAATTTTTAGCACCGCGATGTAAATAAATTTCTTGTAAAAAAGTAAGTACGACGAAAGTAGTTTTGAAAGAGATGCCATCGACTCTTCAAAACTCTGTTCCTTCTTATGCGATGGTGAAAAATGAGCTCGGCTGTTTCAACTTGATAGACCTGTGAAGATGACCCCCGTCCGGTGCGCCCAGGAATGTTAAGAATGTCGAAAAATTAGTACTGGCTGATCGAAGAATTTAATTTTGGAAGATAGCAGAAGGATTACAGAGAAGCAAAGGACGAGCTGCAGAAATTTTGCATGAACCTTTGAAAATGAAAAAAACAATAGTGCGTGTTGAGTACCGCGAATGAAAAGATTTTTTGGAGTTGATGAAACTTGGATTCCTCGGTATGATCTCGGGCCCAAACAGGAGTCGATAAAGTGGATAAAAAAGGGCAAATGTCACCAAAAAAAAAAAACAAAAACAAAGTGGAAAAGGTTCGACACCGGTTATGGCCACTGTCAAAGGGAACTACAGACGCGTGAGGCAGTCATACAGAAGAGACGTGGGAAGTTAGCGTGCAGAGTTTTTTTCCTTCAAGCCAACACACCCGTCACACCGCTCGGGTTGTGAGTGTTTGGTTTAAAGCTACTGGATTTATAAAAATTTATCATCAACCCTACAGTCCGGACCTGGCACCCAGTGCCTTTTTACTTTTTATAAATTTAAAAAAAGGAGTTCCGGGGACGAAGATTTTTCAGACGACAGTGAGATAAAAGCGGCCGTAGAAAACAATTTTGTAGATACAATAAATCTGAAGATACAAGCATTATATTCACGATTTGAAAAGTGTATTTCACTTGAGCGAGACTATGTTGGAAAATAAAAACATTAAACTATGCACTTGTTTCATTACGTACTTTAGCCCGCGAACTTATCAACCGCCCCTCGTATGTTACTAGTAGCGGTACAACATCAAAACGCACATCACAAATTGTAAAAAGAGCTCAACCTAATATCGGTTCAGCAGTTATATATACATCCATATAGTACTTACCGATCAAAATGTTGCGCCTTTATGCGATTCTTGATCTCCTCACTGACTTGCGCGCAGAGCGTTAGTGATGTCTTTGGTGAGTAGATGAAGTTTTCGAAGGCATTATCCATTACTGCTTGCATTATTTTTTCGCATGTCTCTTTATTTATTGGATACTTCGGCTCGAGACGATATGTGGGTAAATATTTCAGCACCGGCTGCAAACACACAGAAATTGGTGAGCTTACACTGCTATTTTGATGTGACAAATGCATCATCGTCTTACCCGCGCTTGGGGCACTGTGAAAGCAGTGCTTAATCTACGTCCAGTTGCCGATTTCAGGGAGTTACGTCGCTAGAAATAAGAAGAAGAGAAAAACACAATTTAAATCAATTGCACACATACATACATACATATGTATTGATGAACGAATGGATAGTGTGGGTTTCATGAATTTAGTAAACGCTACTGCTTCTTCTTCTTCTTCCTCCCCGACTTAATCGCTGCTTAGTTACGCATAAATAAATGCCAAATGAATGACGTTGTTGGTGGGCTGCGTGCTTAGCGGGCATTGGTTTCACCTGCAGCGGTTGTGTTGATTGTTTGATTAATGGCAATCATGCTTAATGTCATCGATTATGTGTGCGCTATAAATCACAATTTGCCAAAAAAATATTGTACAATATTACGAGCAAATAAAGCTGAGCTGCACATTGCTTATTTATACAAATTATTTGAATAATACAAATGGATGTTGGCCAATTTATTGTTTACTTTAGTGTAGACTTTCTATCTACCTCTTCCCCTGCCTGACCGAGACACAAATTTACGAGATTGGTCCAATTGTCTGCCATCAAGTACTGACGAAGTGCAACCACATTTTGACCCGATTTGCGAATTTCGGTTAAATGGCTAAATGTTAAATCGATATGAGGTAAATATGTACATACTCGTACATATGTGTGTAGAAATATAATATAATATAACATATAAGAGTGAATATATGTATATGCTTTGGTACAAGCTTACACAGTGGTTGTGGTTTGTCCCAATTAACTAATTTGAATTTCAAAATATATTATTGGGTTGCCCAAAAAGTAATTGCCGGCGTTGACAAATTTTTTCAACGGCTTGTGACTCTGTAATTGCATTCTTTCTTCTGTCAGTTATCAGCTGTTACTTTTAGCTTGCTTTAGAAAAAAAGTGCTCGAAATTTTGTTTACATTTGTTTGCTTGGCGTCAATTTTAATATGGAGCCCACAAAGGAGCATTTTCGTCATATTTTACTTTATTATTTCCGTAAAGGAAAAAACGCGGAGCAGGTTGCTAAAAAGGTACGAAATGTGTATGGTGATGAAGCCTTAAAAGGAAGACAGTGTCAAAATTGGTTTCGCAAATTCCGTTCTGGAGATTTTTCACTTGATGATGAAGATGAGCCACGTTCACGTCGGCCAAATGAAGTTGATGATGACCAAATCAAAGCATTAATCGAATTGGATCGTCATGTAACTGAGCGTGAGATATGAGAGAAGTTAAATATACCAAAATCAACCGTTCATTATCACATAAAAAGTCTTGAACTGGTGAAAAAGATTGATATTTGGGTACCGCATGTATTGAAAGAAATTCATTTAACACACCGAATCAACGCTTGTGAAATGCACCTTATAGCCCTGAACTTGCACCATCAGACTACCATTTATTTCGATCTTTGCAGAACTCCTAAAATGGTAAAACTTTCGGCAATGATGAGGCTATAAAATCGCACTTGGTTCAGTTTTTTGCAGATAAAGGCCAGAAGTTCTATGAGCGTGGAATACTAAATTTGCCAGGAAGATGGCAAAAGGTTATCGAACAAAATGGCAATTATATATTTGATTAAAGTTCATTCTAAGTTTTATTAAAAATGCATTTAATTTCTTTTAAAAAATCCGCAATTACTTTTTGGGCAACCCAATACATACATACACGTACATACATACTCATACATAAATATCCCCGTAATAAGTGCTATGTTAAACTGTCCCTGTGGGAAAAATTGAACAGCACAAAGCTTAGAAGAAAATGCGGTTTGCCAAGAGATGGCGTGACATGATTATAATTCCAACGTTCCAATATCCAACGAATATGCGTTGGAAAGTTACCGTCATTGTGCGCCTTCGAATATGTTGCACTTTATCCCTGAACAGTTTTTTACAGGTAGTTCCTTTTTATTACTTTAATACGAGGGAGCATTTTTATGTTCGCGGAATGTGAGAGTTGTGGGGTAGACAGCTATCGGCTACCAAGCAACATAAACGGGAATGAAATCTGAAAAAATCGACTATCGGGCCGTTGTAAAGTTCGTAACCGAGTAAGGAAAATCAGTTGTAACTGTAATGTATGAGATGCCATTGGTTTACGACACTCTTATCCGCGAAAAACTACACGTATAATGTAGAAGTGGCACAGTTTATTTAAACAAGAAAGATATCACCTTGAAGACGATACGAGTCCGGGCACGGGCATCGAAGTGAACACGACAGAACATGTTCGAGTTGAAAAAATCTTCCTCGACGAAGCTCAACTTAAAAAAAAAGCAGTCCGCAGAAATGATTGGAAACCCCGCATATGTATATATGTAACCGCTGAATCGATTTTCGGCCAAGTTGATCCTCCAATTTGTGTTTTTGCGTCTCGAGGTTTATCCAACGCAAGGAGGGACATACATATACCTTTATAGTAAGCCTCCTCCGAACGCTTCATGGTTTTTTTTATGATTAGCCTTTATTTCATGTCAGAAATACACTCGGAGGGGCTGACATTTCCTGCCCAGGGGCAACCTCAATTAGAACATTTAACTTAACTTTTTATATAAATTAATTTTCTATAAGCTTTAGATGTTGGTCGGACTAGGATTGCACCCAGACCTTCCGAATGGCTGAACGCAATGTTAATCACTCTGCTATCGTGGCAGCACGATCATCTTGGTATTTCTAAGGTCAGCATAGGTTGGGTGCCTAGAGCATGACCACGCCTCCGCAAAAATAATAGCGCGTAGAGTGTTCACGTGCATTTTTCGGACCTCTGTAACGAAGAGGAGGATTGTGTATTGAGTAGTATTGTTATTGGAGATGAAACTTGAGTTCTCTCATTATGTACCTGAGTCAAAACAAGACTCCATGCAGTGGCATAAAAAGAACGCAGCACATCCCAGTACAGTTTAAGATAACACAGTCAGCTGGGAAACTCATGGCAATAATGGTTTTATTCTTCAGAGGAAATTAGATTGATCAATTATAAAGATTGTTTTGTTTCTTTAACTGAAGAACACTGCGCTTCGTTGTTAGAAGTAAGCCACTGAAGTTGTGTTGGCTACCCTGCATAAGATAGGCTTCGATTCAAATCATCCACTCTATAGCCCAAGTGATTGTTACCTGTTTCCACAAATAAACTGAGAGGTTGGCTGAGGATTTAAAGAACATCCTGGGCAGCCAAAAAAATTTGAAGACGAGAAAGTGGACATTATTCAATGAAGATTGATGGAACGCTACTAACAACAAAAAACCATCAATTTGAAGCGAACCATTGCCGAAATATACCCTTAATATGCGACCAAACAGGTGGCAATAATCTTACATTATGACCACGTTAGGCGCGGTTGGAAACTATTTGAAAAATAGCGATTGTGAAGCTCTACCTCAACCACCTTCAAACCCAGACCTTGTCCTTCTGAAGCCCTCACTGGAATGCGGCTCACATCAGAATAGTATCAAAAATTAGCTTTCATTCTGGTCGCCAAGCCGGCGAGGTTCTTTTGGGATGGTATCTACAAATTGTCACAAATGTGAGGTAGTGTTATAGCTTCATTAAATGTTCAAAGCGCACGAATTAAGTTATAGACCTAATATATACTCGTAAAACAATCCATTCTTTTGGGCTTAATTCCATATTGGATTTGCAGGCGATTAGTCTGTGTACATCGAATGTCTCTCAACAGTAACGTGGAACGCAAGAAGCGGACACGGTGCCTTTTTATGATCGGAGATAAATTGACTTGTCGTCATAGTCGAAACGACTATATGTTGCCATCGCCATCGAGAGAGGGTTCGAGCTTACCATATCCAGTGTTTTCATAATCACTGCAATTAAGCAGGTTGGAGAGCACTACTCGCCATAAACTCAATTTGATTTGAGTAATTTGCTTAATTTTCACGCGATTTTTTTTTTGCGATTTTTCAAGATTAATCAACGGGAATTTGAATTCACATATTTGTTTTTTGTTCATCTTTCCGATACAGTAAGCGTTGAGGTTAGACACATTTCACCCTGCGAGGTCTTCTTCCGACATCGTCGATTACAATAATATTTATCTGAGAGCTGAAGTACGAGTTAAGTTTGTAGGTAGAATCGTCGCACTCTTTAATGGTTACAAAGCACTAATTATTGAAATCCTACTTAAGAAAGTTCATGGGTTGCTTGCGGCATAGGGAGCTCCTTCCAGTAGGATGACTATAAAATAAGACATAAGGTTTCCGAATGTATTTTCCTTGCTGAACACGAATCGGGAGTCAAAAACATTCCATCACGTCATAATCGCGAAAAAGACAAGAGTGGAAACCTCTGAAAATAAGGTTTTTTTTTAATTTTCGAGAAATTGGCGTCTTTAATTCAATTTTGTTATAATTTTTTAACTAATTAAAAAGAAAAAAATTACGCATTTTAAACGCCGTCTGACTGCTTCTTGGTTACACATCTGATAATTGTCTACCTACTTAGTTATAACATTTCCATTTAAATGGCAAATATTCAAAGCTGTAGCCCATCAATTATTTTTGAAAAAGTTCTGAAGGCTCATCACTCCATATTTCTATTACTACCGAACCCGAAAAAGTCGAAATTAAGACATTGTCGAGTGACTCCGTCATATCCCTAGCCAGCTCTCCGTCTATAATCAGCTACCGTAGCACGCCAAGGTTTAGCCGTAGAATTATTTAAGGAGGCAAAAAACGATATTTTTGAGGATTTCAACCCATGGCTTTTTCGAAACATTTTGGATACGTGTTCAACACGAAAAATCCTTTCGGAAACACTTTGTCCCATTTTATTCGCAGGACAAAATTGAGATTTACCGGGCTATATTATTCGCTTGCCAAGAATTCTTCGTACTTTTATATTCCATCTTTTTGTTAAATTTGGTATCTTAAAGATTTAAGCGCTTCCGACTGGAAATCGGAAAGCTTAAGTTATACAACTTAACTCCCGTCAGCTGAATTCCTTAAAGGTTGCAAGATTGAAAAATTCGAGTTCCATTAAACAGGATTATACAGAAAAAAAAAACACTCACTTCTCCGCTCTCAGTGAGCTAAGAGCTCAGTCTTTTGTTCGTGCTTCTAGATGTCCATAGTCCATAGTTCTGTTGTTTCGAGTATCACTGTTCCATTAAACCACAAATTTACTTACCTCTCCGGTATCCATGTTGCTTAAAAATAACGCGAAGTATGGGAAGTGTTAAAAATAAATTCAGATTATATGTATTTCTTTGGTGTTGTTTGTTTTAGAAAAAAAACTTGAATTATTTTGCTTTCAAAAGTTCGGAAACATCAAGAACGTGAAAAGCTAAGGAAGATGCCAATAGTACAGAAAAGAAAAAACTTTTAGGTTCACACACAAAAGACATAAGTGAATAAGAAGTGCTCGGAGATATTCGATCTAACATGCCCCTGGGGACAGGTAATGTCAATAACCCTGTTTGGAGTGTGTTTTCTGATTTTTTATGGAGATTGTTTGACTTCGCCTTGCTTTTTTGTTATTATTTCATAAGTCTATCATTGTTCGGGGTATACATGAGACAGTGGCTTCATACTAAGGGAGATCGGATTATATTTTAAATTAGGCGAAAACGAAATTAGTTGATTTCACCGAGGTCATTTCACGGCAGGCCCAGATTTTTTGAAAATATAAGGCATTTTTTCAAAATTTCCAGGCTACAAGAAAGGTTTTTTAGACGTGAGTTTTTCAATAAGGCAAAATTTTTTTTCCTTTTAGAACCATAAACCAAAAGTTGTAGATTTTTAATTTAAATTAAAAAATTAAGTAAAATTTTCTGCAAAAAAATATTCCCCAAAGCAGGTTTTGGGAAATGTTGCGGGAGTGACGACAGTCCTTGGTTCAATAAAAATCCGGGTTGTTCCGGCATAAAGACCCGACTGTCGCGGGAACTATTGGATTTTAGCTGCCTCTTACGGCAGGCATGCCTTACCGTGGATATATTCTTTAAACGCTTACCGACAGGAGTCGCTTCTCGGCAAAGAATGTCAACGACTAAGCAAGTTTGTGCTTCTTGAAGATGTTGAATGAGTAGGAAAATATTTATGCAACAATTTTTAAAGCCTCTATAAGCAAGTTTAGCCATCATTTGTGATATTTATTCCATAACCAAACTAAGAAGAAAATGATTGCCAACTTCAATAGGGATAGAATCACAGATTTTAGCAAACGCTATGACCCGTCGAAGGAAGAATGTTTAAATTATTAATAATTTTTTTTGTTATTTAACTTATTTTTCTGTTTATCTCAGATGATAATTGATGATTTTGTGCCGGAGAAGAGCATACAATTTCTCTCATGACTGCAGATCGATGACAATTTTTTAAAGATAGATGTTTCTCCTTGGAAGTTAAAAGAAAAATAAGTTGTTTGAGAGTTGTGAATGATACTGCTGAAAGGGCTGTTAAATTGATGCAAGATTTTAACGGACTTATCACGGCTGAAGATGAGAAAAAACCGTACTTGATGCGCTGTGTGCAGGGAGTATCTGATCCGTAAAAAAAAAAATACTCTAACAGTCCTATTCTCACTGTTACCGATAAAATAGATTTTGTTACTTTTCTTTAACACCAGAAATTGAATTTGGTATTCTNAATTTCCATAAAAATCAATATTTTTGAAATCCCCTACGTACTTCTATAGCTATTGTCATGCAGATTAACGACATTTTTTTGTTTTGTTCCAGGACAAGAATTATAGATGCAAAATGTCACGCCGTGGAGCGCTTTAGAAAAATGGATGAAAAAGGGATCCGAAATATCGGCCATTTTGTGCCGGAAAAAAAAAATCTAAGAAAATAGTTTCTCAAAAGCTTTATATCCGAACTTCATCGGTATGTGATTATTTTCATGAATAAATAATAGTTCCATACAAAAAAAAATATTACATATGCACATGGTTTTTTACCCGCTACTGTGGCCATACCCCTTAAAGTATTAGTAAAAAATATAGAGAGTATGCATTTTGATATTCGAAAAAAAAATTCTTTTGTCATATTAGGGACACCCTAATAAAGTGTTTTCTTTGAAATTCATAAGAGTATCCTCGACTCCAAGTTTTCGTAATAACTTTCAGAAAGAAATAAACCAAACCAAAACTCAAAGATTATACCAAAAAAAAAACACAAATATTTGCCTCAGGTTTTACAAAGAAAGAACCTTAATTTACGCTAAGCAAATGAAGTTTTGCCTGTTTTATTTCTTACATTTTCGATTCCTTTGAAAATACGAATGCGCGTACATGTATATATGTATGTATGTATGTATGTGCATTTATTGTTTACATTTTTCAACGGCAAATACATGGCAAAGAAAGTAATCTTAAATACAACAATAACTACACAAGGCTAAAGGACTCAACCGAAACTGCCGGCTGTATTTACTATAAATACGACAACTCAGCCCGTGCATAGGCTAAACACATTTGACCACCAACAAGTACATAAATAAAGAATCCTTTCGCGAAACATACTCGTAAATATCACTGCGACTTTGCGATGAATTCGATGAATTCCTTTGAAAGTGGCACCAACAACTTTGGATGGCCAACCGCGGGTACAAATGCAGAGCAGCAGATACAGCAAAGACAACAACAATTTAGAGAGCAACTCATACCCACCGCTTATGTACGAATTGTGGAGCAACCCGCCAGTAAAGCGTTGAGATTTCGGTACGAATGTGAGAGCCGCTTCACTGGCACACTGTTGGGTCAGAGCTCGACACCGAATTTGAAAACCTACCCCACCATCGAAATTGTTGGCTTCAAAGGAAGTGCAATTGTAGTGGTGTCGTGTGTGACCATGGATGCGCCATATCGTCCACATCCGCACAATTTGGTGGGCAAAGAGAATTGTACGAAAGGTGTTTGCACTGTGGAAATCAACACTGACACCATGTGTGCCGTATTCAAAAATTTGGGCATACAGTGTGTTAAAAAGCGTGATATAGAGCAATCTTTGCGAATTCGTGAGAATATCCGCGTCGATCCATTTAGGACGGGATTTGCACACAGTACCGACCCGGCTAGCCTCGATCTTAGTTGCGTACGTTTGTGCTTTCAAGTATTTCTGAAAGATGAAATGCAACATTACACAATACCACTGCCGCCCGTTGTTTCCGAGCCCATATACAATAAGAAATCCTTGCCAGATCTTACTATTATACGCATTTGCAGCTGTTCGGCCTCAGTCTTGGGCAATACCAATATTATTTTGATGTGTGAAAAGATTGTAAGAAACGATATTGCTGTACGATTTTTCGAAGAAAAGGACAATACCACACTGTGGCAAGCATTTGGTGCATTAGAGCCGAGTAAAGATATACACAAATTGACGGCTATTTCGTTTCGAACACCCAAATATCATAAAACAGACATAACGGAACCAGTGCAGGTGTACATTCAACTGCAAAGACCATCAGATGGTGCTACTAGTAAGCCAGTTAAATTTGAATTTATGCCGGCCGAGTTGAGCGCAGACGAATCGAAGCGAAAACGTCGAAAACTCAATAATGAAATGATACAACAACTAAAAGCGAGTCAGTGTGCCGCTCAAATGACAAGTGAGATGGAGTCTGCAGCACAGCTTTCACAACCACAATACCCAGTGGCGTGCGTAAAAACTCAGCAGCGGCAAATACAGCAATCACATTCCGACAACAATTTATCAAAAGCTGCTCATGCAGCGGGCCCAACGGCGAGCGAACTATTGGACTTAGATAGTGGACAATTAGTTCGGGTGAACTCAGAGGACCAATACCTGCTGCAGCTCACAACCGAAGAACTTAGGCTCTCCAATCTGTCACTGTAATTAAGTCGTTTACTCCGGCGCAGCCGATTTGATAAGCGCTTACGCTCGATCCTATAGCTGACGTAGACCGGCGCAGGTGGCACAACGACTAGCAAGCTGTGCCAACCAATATTTAATATTGGAAATGTTTTGTTTTTACTTTATAAAACATTTTGTCTTCTAGTGTAAAATTAAATGTGATATTTTGCGGTTTTTCTTCAAGCAAACAAATATTTGTTATACTACATATGTAGCTTATAGAATAAAAGGTTACGACACGATGGCAATCATATGTTTAATGGGCACATCTAGTGTAATCGCCTAAAAAAATGTGATTCTTGGGAACTTTTATTGAAAAAAATACTTTATCAATTATTTCAAAATTTTAAGAATATATTTGTACATGTTTCAAGAATATACAGCCAAATTTTTGAAGAAAAAAATTAAATATTTTTTAAGTTATAGTCGATCTCCAACGGCGCGAAAAAAAGGTCCTTCACTGCTGCAGGGATTCCGGCCTCTTCCGTGGATGAAATCTAAAAAAAAATTCTCTACTAGATAATATTGTTTCTACAATGGCCTACGATAAAACAAATCAAAAATTGACAATATGGCGGCGATTTAAAAAAATTGTCGAATTTTAGCCAAAATTTTTGTCGTTTACGGCCAGCCAAAATTCGATTTTTTGATCAGATCAAAAATCCATAGGTCATTGTACGGAGAACTATATATATCAGGTGTACAACTTTGCTTCCGCCGTTTTCCGATAGATGGCTGTACCAGCTGAGGATGGTTGAAATACATAGCTGATAATGCCTTTAAAGTGAGTGTGGACAGTGCCTAACGAATTGTCATCGCCGTTTCAGTGACAGTTGTTCTTGTTTTCGTATTATTCACGCTCGAAAATGTCCGTTTATGTGCCTAATTCTCGCCATTTGCGGGAAGTTTTACTTTTCTGTTACAATTCGAAAAAAATGCAGCTGAAGCGCATCGAATGGTGGAAGAGAATCAGCTCGGTGTGATTTACTACGAGCTCTTAAAACCGGGTGAAACCATCACAGGAGATCG